GGCTCAATGGCTGTCTTCAGACACTGGTTACAGATCACATTCATCTGGACTAAGAAAACTAACAATTGCTTGGATTAAATAATCAGGGGGTATTTCAAATGTCTGCCAAACAGATCCCCGGAGGTCTCCGGGACATGGGTTAGAAACTCCTGTTCTAAAATTATGAATTTGGAAAAATTGCTTAGATAATGCAAAGAGCCATTTAAAAATAAGAATGTTGTAATACAAATGGAAAATAAGGAAAAGCTCCCTACCTTCTGGTCTGGCGAAGTCTCTGAATGTGGGAAGGGAAATGACTGTATAGGAGATGGTATGGACAGTATCCAGTATGCAGTCAACGTCCCTGGGCATACAAGACTTAACACAGCGGATGGTTTCTGTTCTGTCCATTCGAATCCTGCAGATAAGGAAACAGGAATGTTAAGTTCCCTGGGCCTATAATAAGCGATGTCAAACCGCACACCACCATGAAATACACAATCGGAAGGCAGCCCAAAAAATACATTGGGCAGCTCACCACAAGTCAGAAGCACAGCAGGAGAGAGGAATGCTCACTAGACAAATATTATCATGATAAATATTTTTTTTTTCTAAATAAAACAGATTTGAGTAAGGATATTAAAAACGGTTGAAACAAAGGACACCGCCAAAAATATGGCCGCCTAGCATCTTTTACGGCTTTGATTTATTTGCCATTTTAGAAAGAAAAACTTTTGTCGTGTCTTTTGGTGCAAAGAAACTGATATAAAGTATAAAAGGTTAGGTGATGACTTTTTTTGTACTTTCCATTCCTATTGTTTTACTTGATAAATCTTTTTACTCTGTGAAGACATCTTCCAGGCCTCTCACAGCTTGAAAACCCAGAGACCCTCTTTCGTTACCGAGACGACAATGAAATCTTTGTTGCCCAGAAGATTCCTGCATACACGCTGCATATGCTCTCATGGATGTGGAACACAAATATTGTTTTCCTGTCTTTATAGCTAGACAAGAAGTTAGTTATATTCTCATTAGTTTCCAAAAATTGTTATTTCAGACTCCAGACATCATTTGCCACAACAGACATCACTTATACTTGCAGTCCTTTGTCTGGGAGTAGATTTTGTTTTGGTAAATAATCTATTCTGACAAAAGCACATAAAATACGCCAAGAAACAGAGAGAGCTATGGAGAAATGCATGCTTATTTCCATTATCTATATCAGTAGTTCCCAACTCTGGTTCTGGATGAATCCTGCAACTGCTGGTATTTACAGTATTCCTACTGTACTGTACAGGCCATCACTGGTGCTACAGTAATTGATGCTTTTATCTTGCTCTGACTTTTGTTGAACTGTTTCTGTGCTCAGTTTGTGGTTTCAAATGACTTCTTCCAGTGTTTTTCCAACAACTTCGGAATATAGGATTTCAATTTCTCCTCAATTTATCAAGAGATCACTCCTTTATCATTGTTTAAACATCTCTCAGTAGGTCATAAATGCACATTGAACAGACACATGTGGGTGTGACTGTATCAATTACCCCCCACAATAAGCAGCTTAGCTTTTCTGGCTTCTGCAGAACTTCAACTGAAATTAAAAATACTAGGTTATTTCAATATTCAGCTTGAGGCATATTTTTAATTTTGCTTTCAGCTCTTAAAATGTTAAATGGGATCTGTAACTTGTATCAACCCAAATTGACAGTCAGAAATGTTCTGAAACGTCAAATTCAGCTGATCCAAGTTACAAATTCCATTTAACTTTATAAGAGCTGAAAGCAAGAGTAAACATATGCCTCAAACTGATATTGAAATAAGTTAAGTTTGCATTTAAGAACTCAGCTATATATCAAAATCCGGAAGATGCAGGGATCACTCAGGATCAGAGTTGGAAATAGTTGATTTAGAGTAGAAGTATAAAAGAAAGGTTATAAAACAGGGTTACAAGTATTGTAGTTAACTGATTTAACAATCTCTTTCTGTTGTTCAACAAGATGTCTGGGCAGCCTGTTACAGACACTCACCATATCTCATGTGCACAGAAACGTACCTGTTGCCAATTCGAAATGCTCTATGTCTTGATTTGTTTTTGTTCTCTTGCACTTCTATTTACATTTTCCTGATTTCCTTTGCTCAAGAATGAAATCTTGGGTACAACGATATTCTTTAAGCCGTGAATTACCAGTTGTTCTTCTTTGAAGTTGCTTGTTATAATTGCAGCCTAATTTCCCTCAATCTAAAATCTAAACTTTTCCGCACGTATCCTGTAATTTAGATGAGTGGGTTTATCACTTCCCTACAGTATATTGTCTAGAGCATGATTAACCACGAGCCAATGGCTAAATGTTTTTGCAGACAGCTACTCTTGCAATTTTCCAGTCAGTGAGTACAACTCCTAATGACAGTCTCTTATTTGGGAGGGGAAAAAATGGTAACATGTGGATCTCAATTTCTCTCCTTCACATCAATTTCTGTTTTTTCTTTCCCCCCCAAAAGCAGATGAGGGTCTCTTTCGAGACTGAGACCACAATAAAGTAGAATGCAGCAGCAACTCAGCAGGCCATAAAAAAAAAGCACAGCAATGGACACAAAAACAGAGGTCGGTAAGTGTCTTCAGTTCAGTCGCATGTAAATTTTTATTATTATTATTTATAGTCTTCAAGTTGATAACACACCAAAGCAAACACAGCACTACATCATTAATTTTCTGAAAAGCGCCGCTGTCTGACCGCAAATTGTGCAGACCACCAGCCTGACCCAAGCCCTCCATAACTCAATGTCAGACCATAAAATACCATATTTTTATTTTACGGAAATCCCCACCAAAGAAGTTCTTCCTCTGCTTATAGCAGTTCGGTCAGGGCCAGTCTGAATTTACACTTATTAAAAGCCACAGCCCAGAAACTGACCTACAATGTTTTAGCTATTTTTATTTCATCCTTGCATGGTCTGTACACTTTCCCAGTACTGGACACACGCCAGCAGTTCTCCACTTGCTGAAGTCATGGGGCAGATTCATTTATATGGCTGTAAAAGCAGCAGAATGTGTATAAGTGTGGATTCTACTGGACCGGCTGATTACTGTACCTGTTTCATAACACGAGGAGCTGGTCTGAAAGACTACTGTCATGTTTTAAACCTTTCAGGGATCTGGGAAGACACCTTATCCACAGCAAATACTAGTGGAGCATATCATTATTCACTGCAGGTAAATAATAATAATAATAATAATAAAAACTTTATTTTATATAGCGCCTTTAAAGGTGGCTTCTCAAAGCGCTTTACAGGATGACAACAACAATAAATAAGTAGAATACACAAGATAAAACACAATTACAATATATAGAGGAGACCGTGGATGGTGGTAATAGGAAAAGCAGAGGGGTGAAGAATGGAACCAGTTAAGTAAAGGCTTTTCTGAAGAAGAGAGTTTTGAGTCTGGATTTGAAGGAGTTTAGAGAAGGTGACTCTCTGGTATCCTTGGGGAGAGAGTTCCAGAGCTTGGGGGTATAACAGGAGAAGGCCCTGTCACCCATACAATGTAGGCGGGCTTGGGGGACAGTAAGGAGAGCAGAATTAGAAGAGCGAAGGTTGCGAGGTGGGAAGTAGGGCGATAATAGTTCAGACAGGTACTGAGGTGCCAAGCCATGCAGAGCCTTAAAGGTGAGCATGAGGATTTTAAAGTCTACACAGAATTTGTCCGGAAGCCAGTGCAAGGACTCCAGGATAGGAGTAATGTGAACACTTGCACTAGATGCTTGTATAGTATAAATCACTCGTTGCACAATACTTGTATAGCTTCTTTCACCCCCAAAGGATCTCAAAGTGCTTAACTGAGAGGACAGGACCCACTTCATCCACCTGAAACGTAGCATCCACCTGAGTGAAGCTCAGCAGCTCCATTACACAGCTGATCGGGTGGAGCAGTGAGAAACTGAAATAGTAGTGGGAAAGCTATATTATGCACCCTGCTAACACCTCTACTCTCTTGTAAAAGTGCCATATGATCTTTAATAATCATGCTCTATAGACAGGATTTAGGTTTAACATGTCTTCCAACAGATGGTATCTCCTACTGTTCCTAAGCAGCTTGTCACTTATGGTGACCCTGGTCACTCCACTGGGCTATTGGTGTGATAATACTGAGTAGGGCACCCCCTACTGGTCTGCAGACATCACTTACAGCAGCAACCTGCATTTCCTGTGTTGGTCTCACATCCCAGTGCTGACCAAGTCCTGCCCTGCTGAGCTTATGAGATCTGACATGGTCAGACTTTAAGTTAGTAACACTGCTTCCAATGACACAATAAAGGTAATTAAAAAAGTTCCAAACAAAAGAAATCATGGTCCTGGATTCTATTTCAATTATTTAAAATGTCCTGGATTCTTCCAGGCTATTATGATAGGAGAAAAACGTCAATCCAGGTTAGGGTAATTAGTAGAAATTAAGAAGGAACCTGATGTAGAAACCACTGCTTATCCCTCACATTTAGTTCAGTGACCAAGACTGTAGTGCATTCAATAAATTCAAACTGATAAGTAATATATCAAATTGGTAGTGGTAACATGTATCAAATACTCCAACAGCTACAGAGAGAAAGTTCGGAGAGGCTTTGGGAGAATACCAAACTGTGCAGATCTACCTAAAATGCAATTTAAAGTATACTTTGAGTATTTCAGTACATCGGTAACAGTATTTAGCAAAAAAATGACATTGACTCCCCAATCTCCACTTCAAAAAGAATGCACTGAGATAATTATTTGCTAATAAGAAGCGCTGAACTAACACCAAGGGACATAATATTGCCTCACATAATTGTCATCATGTGACCCAATTTACAACATGGTGTTGAGTTGTGATCAAAACGGCCGAAAAACGCTATTAGCACTCTGATGGTGGGCCAGGACAAGGAGAGTCAAGAAAAAAAATTGGGAACACTTCCCTGCATTAGCTATTGTTGACTGTTTGAGAATCTGACCCATTTTAAACTTGGAATAAGCAAGACAAAAGACCCGGTCAAAATCATTGGAGGTTTTTATTTGATATTTTACCCATTTACAAGAAAATGTTTGTAAAATGTGAACTATAATTAAGTTTTAAATGTAAGATGGGGTGTATTACAAAAGATGTTACAGGCAGGAGAGAACTTTCCACAAACACATAATGCTCAGCTCGGGAACGGACGTAGCGAGCAGATCTTTGTTTCTATTCAAGTTAGTTCTCAGGATTTCAGAGGGCATATTGTGATCAGTTCGTTTTCACTGAATAATACAATATCATGCCAATGTGCTCAGTGGAATGTGTTCCAATGTGTTCCATGGAAAAAATATTTTGCATAGGTATGGATACTGTAATTATATTACAGTCTCTGATAACAATGTAAGCAAAATGGAACCTTACAGAATGATGAACACCGAGAAGAGCAATTCTAGAACAGTCCACATGAGAAGCCAAGAAAACAGTCATGGCAGAACCTTTCACTGCCCTACACTGCCCCCTTGTGCCCCCTCAGCACAATGCAATTACACATACTTTTATGTGTAACCCGCTGGCACTCTTATAATACATCAGTCAATACAATAGGTCTTGCAAGATGTAATGCGATTGAACACACAGTAAAATTTAATAAACAATATAAATCAAGTACAAAGTAAAATGATGTATACATGTTATATCAATATATAAATGTGTTGAATTTACTGCGATTCGCTACTTTTTGGCTTCATAAGATCAGAATCGGCTAACGGGACATTTAGGTCTTGAGATTAAATCCTACAATGTTGCCTGTTTCTTCATTGTATTCGGTGTAAGTTCTTAAAATCTGCCTGGAAGCCCAGAACTCTTTGCATAGACTCTGGTTCCATGTGTCTAGGAACCTCCCTGGATGATTTGGTTATTTCTCATGCTCTTGAGATGAGACATTGCCAAAATGAGCTCAGCCTCTGACTTGGTTGCATCAGATGATGGATGTCCAGAGAGATTTTTTTTTTAAATCTGCTTTGACTTTTTTTTTTTACAACGTAGCGTCGGGCAAAAGCAGAATCGGATTTTATGACCACTCCAATTTTGAAATGGGTTGCACAAACTGCAGCCAGTGACATTCTCAACTCTTGTGGGAGTTCTCATAAAACGCCTGTGAGGTGCTGCTGCCTCCGTGTTTGTTAACTGCTGCCAAAGATCTGTCACACTTACTTGCGAATTGGACTCATCACATTTGTAGTTCTCAAAGGCCTACTGGTAATAAAGATGATCAAGAAGAAGAAAACGCCGCACACTGCGTTTTAAAACTGAGACGCGTCGGTATACACCGGCTGCTCAGCTGTAACAAAGACATGGATTTTAGCTAGAAACGTGCTAACAGTGCCATAGCGGAAGAGCTTCATCTCCACTGTGAGTAGGAAGTCCTGAGGCTGGGATATGGGCCTCTGCACAGCAACAGTCCCACCATTGCTGAGCTCCTGCGCGCTGAAGTAGCCCTCGTCATTGCCGTCTACGATGGTGATGAGGATGTCATCGCCTGGCACGGAGTTAGAAGGGCCCATGCGGAAGACATTGGTGGGCACGGGGATATTGGTAGGGAAAGTGAGGTGATAGTAGGTTATTCTCAAGGGCTGGGCCAGGCACTCGCTATTCTGATTGCAAGGCAAGCGCTCGCAACGACTGCAAGAAAAGTGAGAAGGAGAAACACGGAACAAACAAACAAACAGACGACAAAAAAAAAAGAAAGAAGGAGAAAGTTAGGTCAGTGCCCAGCAAGCAGAGCCAAAGTGTCAGCAACAGCAGCAGAGACTGTATTTCTCAAGGTTTAGTGAGCTAGAGTACATCTGGGCAGCTCAGAAATTGCTTTAACTAGTGATGTGCACGGCAAATACATAAAAATAACCATTCGTGTACAGAAGAATTTTTTTTTGCTATGCCTTTTTTATTCTGAAAATCATTTGGAAAATCATAACCTGCCTTTACATACGTCGACAATTTTATGGAAAAAGGGCGCTGCTTCAATACATTGACAGTCAAAGACGTTATTCATCTCTTAGGAAAGAGAGGATCAGGGCAGCAGAATGTTGTTTTGCCCGAACTGTCTTTTGTTTCGGAATTGCCTTCAATTTCTTTTGTGTCATTGTAAAAGCACTGATGAAAATATTTACTGCATACTTTGAGACCCAGAAGAAGACAAACTGTTCCGCTGTAAGCGTTTCAGTATTTTGCGGTCACCTATTAAAACGCACAAAACTACAATGAAAATTTAAAAGCACCTCATTAAAAATACTGCAGAATCTGGATTCTAATATCTCGCAAATTCCTTCCACCATGATGTAGAGCTCCATTTGGAATTTTACAGGAAAGATCTTGCAAATAAATAATATTGAAAGGCTACCGAAGAAAGATTTTTTTTTAACATTCAAGATCTGATGTCAGCTGTAAAAAGGGTATTGCAGTTTTAGCATCTGTATATTGGATATTAAACCTATCATTAGATTTTTTCTAATTTCAAGCCATCGTGGCCACGAGAAAAAGTAAAAAGCACATCTGGAAGTTGGTGAATCTCAATACTCAATATGACAGGGACACTACACTGTAAAAAGGCGCCGTCCTTCGGATGAGACGTAAAACCAAGGTCCTGACTCTCTGTGGTCATTAAAAATCCCAGGGCGTTTCTCTAAAAGAGAAGGGGTTTAACCCCGGCATCCGGACCAAATTTCCCCCCTGGCCTTTACCAATCACAGTCTAATAATCCCCATCTCTGAATTGGCTTCATCACTCTGTTCTCCTCCCCACTGATAACTGGTGTGTGGGGAGGGTTCTGGCGCACTATGGCTGCCATCACATCATCCAGGTGGGGGCTACACACCGGTGGTGGTGGAGGGGCGTCCCCATTACCTGTAAAGCGCTTTGAGTGGAGTGTCCAGAAAAGCGCTATATAAATGTAAGGAATTCTTGGCCTAATTTCCCCCTGGCGTTTACCAGTCATGACCTCCTAATAATCCCCATCTATGAACTGGCTTCATCACTCTGCTCTCCTCCCCACTGACAGCTGGTGTGTGGTGAGTGTTCTGGCGCACTATGGCTGCTGTCACATCATCCAGGTGGGGGCTGCACATTGGTGGCAGTAGTGGGATTTCCCATTACCTGAAAAGCACTTTGGGAGTGTCCAGAAAAGCACTATATAAGTGTAAGGAATTATAATTATTACTGTGAAGCCAACAACAACTTTGAAAGAGCTACAGAGTTGGCTGAGATGGAAGACAATGTCCATTTGTCAACAATATACCACTCCAAAAAACAGGACTGTATGGCAGAATGGAAAACCCATCTCAAATCCCACATGTAGTTTGCCACAAAGCATCTCAAGTGATACTAGAAATGTGGCAAAACGTGGTTTTTCTGTGGAATTCTGACCTTTTTAGTGTAATTGCAAAGCAATACATCTAGTGCAAAATCAACAATATACCATCCAATGAACACCATCCCTACAGTCAAGCATAGTGGTGGAAGCACCATGCTATAGGGATGCATCTTCTCAGCAGTAACTGGAAAGCTTGTGAGCACTGGAAGAAAATGGATGGAGAAAACTAAAGGCCAATACTCGAGGAAAATGTTTTTGTCTAGACTTAAAGACTTAAAACTGGGGGGAAAGCACAAAGATCAAAGATACACTGGAGTGGCTTAAGAAAATAAAAGTGAATGTTCTTGAGGTGCCCAGTCAAAGTTGAATCCTATTGCGAGTCTGTGGGAAGACTTGAAAAACACTTTCCATGAGTGATCCCCAAGCAACCCGAGGGAGTCTGAGCAAATATACCACCATGAATGGGCACCGATCTGGCCGATCAGCAATATTAGCAGAGACTAACCCAAGAAGACCCGCAGCTTTGACAGCACCCAAAGCTACATCCATCAAATATTGAGTTCAAAGGTCTGAATACTTATGCAATCGACATACTCCAGTTTGTTCTCTTTAGATTTTGCAGCTATTGACTGCAGCGTGTCTTGTCTTGAGAAGTTCTCAATTTGAGATCCATGTTTGTGAATAAAATACAAAGTTTAAGACAATGCGTGTGCACCATTTCATAATTTCACAAAATGGGATGCCATAGGGAGACACTATAAGGGACTGTAAATATGAACACAGGTGGTAGATCATGTTACAGTACATTTAATAAAAAATGAAGAACAGAAGAAGGTGATTGGACAGAAAAGAAGCAATGTCTTCCTTTAGTTTATGTATTTGCCAAAGAACAACAGTGCCTCTACTCGTACTTTGCACCCACACGGCCACTTGTTAACGAGATTATCAGACACACAGGACAATAGGGCTTACTGGACCAGTAAGCATAGATTCCCAAGAAAATAAAATAATCAGAAAAAAAGCCCAGTTCAGTAAAATACTGTTCTCCTGAGGACAATTTTGTATTCATAGTTTTGCACACACATTTGATATCTATTATTATTTTGCTTATTCAATTAAGATGTCTCTTAATGGTGCATTACTTGATCTTTGATCCCATAATGAATTATTGATTAACTAAGTAAGCGCCTCCTTTTAACTTTGTAATTCACCTTATAATATTTATGATGTTTTGACAAAGATAGTTACCAAATGACCTACCAAATAATAACAGATCTACCAGCAGCCATATCACCCCGCAACTCACAACTGGCAGCCCCACTGAAGCTCAGCAGGCGTGAGCCTGGTCAGTACCCGGATGGGAGACCTCCTGGGAAAAACTAAGATTGCTGCTGGAAGAGTTGTTAGTGGGGCCAGCAGGGGGCGCTCACCCTGCGCTCCATGTGGGTCCTTATGCCCCAGTATAGTGATGGGGACACTATACTGTAAACAGGCGCTGTCCTTCGGATGAGACGTAAAACCGAGGTCCTGATTCTCTGTGATCATTAAAAATCCCAGGGTGTTTCTCGAAAAAAGTAGTGGTGTAACCCGGTGTCCTGGCCAAATTTCCCATTGGCCCTTACCAATCATGGCCTCCTAATAACCCCCCTCTCTGAACTGGCTTCATCACTTTGCTCTCCTCCCCACTGATAGTTCTGGCGCACTATGGCTGCCGTCACATCATCCAGGTGGATGCTGCACATTGGTGGTGGTGGAGGGGAGTCCCCATTATCTGTAAAGCGCTTTGAGTGGAGTGTCCAGAAAAGGGCTATATAAGTGTAAGCAATTATTATTATTACTACCAGTACTTGTTGTCAGATCACAACCCTGTAGGGACCACATTTCCCAGACAGCTCTGGGGGAATGAGCTGCTGTTCTGTCTGGATTCCAATTGGTCAAGTGAAGCAGAAGCATGTTTATTGTATGAGAGTAGGCAGTGGGCAGTACATCACTCACCAGAGGCACAAGGACTAAAGGAATCTGTGAGTTCTTAGGAATAGAACAACTGAAAGTTGTACTACTCTTCATCGAGGCCAATATACACTTTTGCTGCTCGGCCATGTTACTTACTTCCAGAACAGGTTTAGTTAGTAGCTCAAAGAGGAGAAAATGTTGTTGTATTTTTGGGTTGTGCTATTTTGTTTTTCCCACACAATAAATTGCAATAAGGAGCTTAACCTCACAGCTGTGTTTGTCTGTTGACCTGGACCTGAATATTTTAAACATCTTTTGATGACACGCCCATGGGTTTGTCACATAGCACACAGTTATGATCATCATTACTTTAACTTCAAATGCCTCTTAATACAATAGGCAATTCAGAATTCTAACCATTGAGATGCAGTAACTGTTTCGAGATCACAGTGCACTATAAAATACATTGATGCATTAAGGCAGTATTTACCAACCTCAATTGTATTGATATACTTGAGATCTAACCTTTGAATTCAGTTTTAAGAAAAATGAAACTGCTTATAATATATGCATTGACCAAGGTTCGAAATGACACAAGATCATTATACATGTAAATTACTCTGAATAAACAAAAATTAAACAGTCATTGCCTTTCTTTTTTAAATGATAAACCAAAGCAGGACATCTTAAATCTTTGCTTCTTAACCATCAGATCATTAACTGATCTGGATTTGAATGTTTGAGACTGCCATAAAATGGTAGGAATAATTAAACTGTTTCATGAAAATGAACTATTTCAGATATACTTATATATCCCATTGAAGGTTCACCAGCACTGAAACCTTGATTATCTCTTTTTTCCTTAAAACAAACAATTAAAATAGATTCATCCAGATGATGTCGATTTTGCTCATTCTCATCACTTAATCTAAGGAAATAATGAATAGTAAATGTGTGATTAAGCCATTAGTACTACTGCATTTTGTTTAAATGATTATCATTAATTTTGTAATTCACTTACAACATTCATACAAGAACTGATTATCACATTTGCATCTTAATTAACTGTAACTAAAGTTTGTTTTGCATTTTTTTTTCTTATAGTTAAATCAACAAATCTAATCATTAGAATTTAACTACTGAATTATTTTCAACAATGAGAGTACTGGTGCACTACGGCTGCCGTCGTATCATCCAGGTGGGGCTGCACATTGGTGGTGGTGGAGGGGAGTACCCATTCCACTCAAAGAGTTTACAGGTAGTGTCCAGAAAACCGCTATATAAGTGTAAGGAATTATTATTATAAATGGGGATGAGCATTGCTGGGGGTTAAACCAAGCAATGGACCGACATCCTATCCATTAGGACAGGAGAATGCTGACCAAGCTCACAGCCATCATGAACAAGGCCTCTCATCCGCTTCATGGGACTGTTACTGGGCAGCGGAGCACTTTTAGCAACAGACTGCTCCAGCTACGGTGTTCAAGGGAACGTTTCCGTAGGTCTTTCTTCCCGGTGGCTGTCGGGATGTACAGTATAACGCTGCCCTAGGCTAGGACTGTTAGCCCTTCATTTGCTTGTCTATGGACAGCATGTTTGCTCCATGGTACTTTTTGGACAGTCTGTATAAACCTATGCACATTTTGCACATATTTTTTTTTTTTTTACAGTGACTATGATAATCACATTTTGCACACACCTATGTCTTTTTTAAAATTTATTTATTTTTATATTTATTTTGTTGCCTTTTGTTTTATAACTATTTTGAGGTTTGTTTTTGTTTGTCTTGGGCTGGACTGCTGTAACACATCAATTTCCCTACGGGATTAAGAAAGTCTTATCTATCTATCTATTAGCTCTGGACTAACGGGACAATGTGGCTTGGATATGAAAATTACCTACAGTATATATATATCCTTAACATATAAGTATTTCGGCTGTGAAAGTGAACACCACGCAAAATCAGTAATGGGATCAACTACAGTATGGCTGGATGTTCAGAAACCTCCTAAATGTGCCTTTAAAGGTCAGTCAGTCTGCACAGAGAATTATAGGAAAGAAAGATATCAAAAAGCAGGTCAACCTTCCAGTGACCTTCCAGTGGAAAATATCAGAAAATGTATTAACCAAAATTACCTATTCGACTCCACCTCCCCACTCTGACATTTTTAAGGTCTGCCAACCTGACATTGTTACAGCTCGTTTGACTAAGTACTGTACATGCAAGCACAAGTTCACCAACTTCAAAAACCCAAAGAGTTAGAAAAACATATGCCTATGCTTTTACGAACCAGTGGTATGCACCCACAAGAAAGACATGGAAATAAAATTTTATGATTGAGAACTTCCATTTTCCGAAAGATGCGTTTCAGTCATAAAAGCTGAAATAGTGTGCAGAGCAAAAACAGGAACTTGTGTTCTTTTGTACTGATGGAAAACCATTTTGATTAGAAGTTAGAACAAGCTTTGTTTCTCCTCAAAACAGCTACTACAAGGAAAAGGACAAAAAAAAAAAAACTCACGATTCCCCAGATCTGTGATAGTTTTTTGGACAGTCAAATGCCAGACATCGGTAATCCCCCTGGATGTTGAAGCAGATCTCCGAGCCAGAGCAATTGTGCATGCCCGTTACACACTCATCGACATCTATAAAAAACACAAAAGGTGCATTTAAAAAAAAAAAAGACGGTGGTAGAACCTAAAAAATAAATTAGCAGTATCGAAATGCAAATTAAAAAAAAAAAATCAGCAGGTGGTGAATCAATTATAGATCAATTGTAGCACAAGCAATCACGGTGCTGAATCAGTTTATGTGACAATTCAAATGGTAATTCCACTTTTCCCTTGTCCACCATAGAGCACAGAACCACATTATAGATACTAAGTCTCAGCACAATGCAACAGACCCACCTTCCACATATGTATCCTAAAGAATGGGCTGAGGATTGAGATGCTCCAAAAAAGTTGCACACATTCAGAGACAACAAATGTGTAAAATATTCAGATGTATAAACAACAAAAGGAAAAGCTAATCCTTTCTGGTGGCTTTCTCATTGTTTTGATGGGACGTCTGGGCAGAGAACATGGGTGAGATTTTTTCTTTTTTTGCCCCGGCTTACTGCTGTTTTTTCTCCAACACTCACAAAGTTTAAGGTGTTTTTGTTTTCCACTACTCATATCCTACACAGCTGTAAAGTCAGCAGAACCTATGTGTTTCTCTAGTTGCCTCCCAACTAAAGTCACCAGCAAAAATCCATCATTCCATTTTCTAACTGCTTCATCCCGTACTGGGTTGTGGGGATGCCAGAGCCCATCCCAGCAAGCAACAAGCTGGTTACCCTACCAGCATGTCTTTGGACTGTGGGAGGAAACCAGAGCGCCCGGAGAAAACCCATATGAACACAGGGAGAACATACAAACTTCATACAGACAGCACCTCGGGGATTGAACCCAGAGCCTCAGAGCTGTGAAGCAGCAATGCAAATCACTGCACCACCACACCTCACCAAGAAAGTATCCCTAACACTATTGAGAATTACAATCGGACACTGCTAAAAGATGGCCCTAGAATGCACAACATCACTTCCACACTGTCCTGCACTGAGTTCTTAAACGCAAATGAGACCAGAAGCAATGCCAGCCTCTCGCCTGATACTTCTTCGCAGCAACAGTTGTTAAAAGGATATGTGCATTCTCCCTTTTCAATATTTAGAATCTCCATTTTTTATATATATATATTCCCAGCCGATGTGGAATTGCCACTTGTTTAAGAGTTTATGGCCTCAAAGCCACCACTCCTGACCGGAATGAGGACACAAGCCACTCTTCATCTGTCAGGGGACTTTCACCTTTCATCTCGCTGTGAGCTCCGCCAGTGCCTCTACAGGAGGTTTATTACAAACTGGAGGGGCAGTACATCCCTCGCCGATGTCACCGCTACTCTGGAAGCACCCGGCAGCTCTGAACGGGGAGACGTTCAAGGTCGACCGATGTGAATCACTCTCTTCCCTACTCTATGCCTCTGCATAGGAGTACTCCAGTCACAGTCCGCTAGTGACGGAGCCCAGTCTTGAACCGGCAATGCCTGGTGATATGGCTCAACCTGAACTCTGAGCAAGCACTTGAGCTAATGAGCCAGCTGGAAGTGCCCTGAGGGGTTTAGACATCTTTCAAAACTGCAACCTAGAGTTCAGGCCTGTGACAGGCAGTCAGCTATAATCCCTTCCTGAGAGGTGTCAGCTGTCCGTACAGTCAGGACAGCCAACAGCTGGGTTCCTCCCGATTTATTCTTCCACTCTTAGGTGGTGTGCGATGTAGCCGGTGAGAGGTTGTGTACAACGCGGCAGGGAGCTCCGCGAGAAAGACCTAGAAAGAGTAGCCAAACGTGCTGATGGTCTAAGCCGCTGAGCCAGAGAGCCAAGGGGTGACTAAGAGGGGAGGCCCGGATTTAAGAATGACCAGAAAACGAAACTAAAGGCCCATTACGAGACAGGCCAGGGAAGCTGCTGAGCAGCTGAAGAGTTCTTTTCTTTCTTTTTTCAATTCCGAGTTCCCACCTTTTTTGGTATCGCCAACATCCCCAACACTGCCTTTTAATCACTGGAAACTAAGAACCCGAGTACATTTCTGGAAAATGAAAGGCCCCACAGTGCAGTTACTATGCCAACCGCTGCCACTTCATGCCTTTCATTGCTTGGCCTGTAACAGCAGTGTTTCAGTAAAAAAAAACACAGTATAAGAAACACACAAAGGATAGTGTTGTTGCCTTTATTCCCTCCGCCTTTTTTGCCATACAGCCATGTATATTTTGAGCCAGCGAAGTATAACCTTCCACCTGAGATGCAAAACCCCCTGAGACTGGGAGCTCCTCACCTTGACAAGTGCGGCCATTAGGAGACAGCGTGTATCCGTGGGTGGGGCAGGTGCACTGGAAACTGCCAGGGACGTTGTGGCAGCGATAGGAGCAGATGTGACCACCGGTAGGCAGAGCGCACTCGTCAATATCTAGCCAAGAAAAGGCAATATTTATAAAGAACATCTGCTCTGCCTGCAGAGCCATTAACACGACATCTGAAGAAAAACGGATGGGGGGGGGGGAATGGAACCACAATGAGGGATTTTTCAGTATAGATTTGAATATACATTTTCGAAAGGCAATGGTACAAATACTGTATTTCAAACGCGCTCTGACCTCACGTTGATGTGCTGATATATAGCGAAATGGAACCAGCATCAGAAGCAAGCTGAAAACAATTCAGGGTAATTCAAACAAACATTTTTAGGACTTTTTCTGGCAAACGCTTTTTTTTTCTTAAAGACGCAGCAGACCTTTCACTAGGCCAACCTGCATAGGTTACAGAAACACAGTCCAGGTATGAAGACAGTTTGCTGTCCAAATTCTTACCTTCACAAGTTATTCCATCCACGTCGCTCAGCTGGTAACCACGGCGGCAGTAGCACTGGTACGATCCATACACATTAGCACATTCCTGGCTACAGGGGTTGCTCTCACACTCGTTTACATCTGCAAATATATATTGAATGTTATTTAATGATATATGCATCCAAAAACAGACATACTGCTAATTATATACAGTAGTAACTAAATAGTGCTGGACTTTTCACTAATTAAACTGCAGAAACACAGCTTCACAGAAGCAAACTAACCCTTTCGTTCACAACTTACGGCCCAAAATATGCAAATTCATAAAGTATTCTGAAAGAGCACACTATGAAACATTATTTTAAATACCACCTTTAAAGAGATGATGACTGATTTTGGTGATGTTTTTTGGAGTGTTACACAGACATTAGTTCTAGATACACACTATACACCTGTCCATTTTTCTTTATCCAATTCAGGGTCACGGTGGAGCCAGTCTATCCCAGCAAGCAACGGGCACAAGGCGGGACACGCTCTGGATGGGACGCCAGTCCATCACAGGGCAGACAGACTCACATATTCACATAAGGGCCAGTTTTCCCAGAAGCCAATTAAACTCCCAGCACGCCTTTGGACTGTGGGAGGAGACCGGAGCACCCGGAGGAAACCCATGCAAAAACGCAGGGAGAACATACAAACTCCACACAAAGAGCACCCCAGGAATTGAACTCAGGGCCCCAGCACTGGGAAGCCAGCAATGCTGACCCCTATGACACCACCCTCCCCAAAATACACATCAAATGAAAATCAAAAAGTAAATACATCATAAAAATGTGGCTAAGCGTGGGAGCTAGAAAACAGGCTTCTATGGGCTCAGGATTGAAGTGCTATTGAGAAAACGAGGCAGGACCTTCACAGTTTCTACCATCGCTGCCAAGTCTGAAGCCACTGGTACAGCTGCACTTATAGGAACCAGGAGTGTTCTCACACTTGTGAGCACAGAGACGCCCTGGGTAGTGTCTGCACTCATTAACATCTAGAGCATAGGGAAGGAAAGAGAAACACAAAGAAAAACTGCATTCAGTTAACACCGAAGGCAACTGAAATCGCAATGCTTTCAGGCTTTTGTTTAAGCGCCGGCGCCACTTTACAAATACACTGATTGAAGGAATTTTTCTCAAAACATCATTTTTGTTTAAGAAATATAAAATGAAATACTTAGGTCATATAACTGGGGCACAAACCTCTTTTTTTACTTTGTCCCCGAAGGGATAGCATTTGCTTTGTGATTTATAAGCCCCGTTACCATTTTCGGCAGGTGTGCTGTACCACTTATCTGTCTCCGAACCACAGGCAGGCCTCACCTTCACAGGTCTTGCTGATGCTGTTGAAGTAGTATCCCATCCTGCACTCACAGCGGAATGAGCCCATCAGGTTGATGCAGATGTGGCCTTCACAGGCAGACTCTGGGCCTCTGCATTCATCCACATCTGGAGCAAAGAGCAGGCAGATGGCACAGTGAGCACCGTCTGTGATGCTAGTTGCCTTGCTCCCAGGATTTGGGGATTTTTTTCAGCAAGATGCGGTAGATTATCAATCCAGTTTCTAACACCTTCACTTATTTCAGGGTTGCGGGAAGGAGCTTGAGCCTATCCTGGCAAGCAATGCGCACAAAGCCGGATACATCCTGAACGGGATGCCAGTTCATCACTGGGCACACAGAGACACAATTTTCCCAGACGTGACTGGGGGAGAACATGCAAACTCCACACAGATAACACCCAAGGTCCAGAATTGAGGCCTAGTTCTGCGAGACAGCAACGCTAACCACTGCGCCACCGTGCCTCCCTCACATTATCCAGATTATCCAAAATCTTCCTGTTATATGCTGTTATTTTGTTCCCAGAAATATTAATAAATCAGGAGGGCATCATATACCATCTATAATTTCTTTGCAGGCAGTATTAGCTTTAATTGCATAGCGTACAACAGAAGAACCGTACCCACACACCGCGTTCCCTCTTCGTTCAGATGATACCCTCTGCCACAGCTGATGAAATTCCTCTGGCAGGTGTACGAGCCCACATTGTTGATACAGGTCTGACCAGGGAGGCAGGGTCCGTTGTGACTCAAGCACTCGTTGATATCTAGAAGGAATAGGCGAGAGAGAGCACATGCCAATTGCCCGGAATAGACTGCCGTGTTGGAAATGTGATCGCCGTGCTCTCCGACGGGACTGAACGTGAAGTTCTTAACACTGTTATCTTAGAGAAGAGAGGAGCCCTTTCGGTCAGTCAGAATTTGACACCTTCTTACAATATTAATTTAAGTCGCCCTGTTAACGTAAATCTAAATTTGTACTACCCTGCTAAAATCTTGGCAAATATCCCTAACAGTGACTAGATTTCCCTTATAGCACAAAATTTATGAGGTTCACTGCTGTCCAATGGGAAACTAAACAAAGTCTGTCATCCTTTTATTTTGCTTCTTGAGGATTAAAGTACTCTTCCTATTGGATTGTACTGGATTTTATTTCTGTGTTTAAATTCTTCTTAGAACTGTCTTGGCAAGACTCTCAGCTGCCTTCATGTTACACCAGAAACCTTAATACAAACAAACCATACCTGCAGTGAACCTTCCCCATAGAACAGCCGCACCAAGAAAAATGCTTGCTGCTACTACTTTATATCCATTCATTTTCTATCTAGGCATATACTGTACCTTAGACAGAATGCAAGTCCAAAGCAGGACAAACACACACAAACTCAAATCGGGGCCAATTTTTTCCAGAAGCCAATTAACCTACCAATATGTCTTTGGACTGTGGGAAGAAACCAAAGCACCCGTAAGAACACAGGGGGAAAATTCAAACTCCAAACACATGGCACCCTGGGAATTGAACCCAGAGCCCCAGCCCTGTGAGGCAGTAAAGCTAAACATGCTTTACTAGCTAGCTAACACTTTACAGTCCTGTAACTCAAAACTGGTAACACAAATGTATTCAAGCTGTACCAGCTATCCAAGGTTGCCAACTAGGACTGTGCACTCTTAACACATACCCTAACCTTAAAAGGGGTTTCCTCTAATAGAAAGGTAAACCGATTAAATGGCTTTTGCTGCGCTGTTTCCTCAAGAAAAAAGCAGTGTGAATAAAGTTCCGGATGAGCCCTGGACGAGTTTAGAAATCGCCGTTCAGCTTCGTGAAGAATAGTGGAAATTGGAATGGGCTCCCTTTGAAAGCCCAGGGGCCGGCGGAATTTCACTCCTTTTTGAGAACGTGAGGCTGAAATGTTACCGATGCAGTTCCCCAGAGCATCCTGGATGAAGCCCACTCTGCACTGCTCTCGCGGCAGACAGCGGAATGACCCGTTTGTGTTTTGGCACTGGAACTCCGCGGGACAGTTGTGAGTCCCAAGCTCGCACTCGTCAATGTCTGGGAGAAAAAAAAAAACGAGGAAGAGTCAGGGAGAAAACCATCTCTCCTTGGCCCTTGTCTCAGATTCTTCAAAACCCGACGCTGTTCAAAAAACAGATACCATTTTCCTTTATTAACACTATAATGATTAAATGAGTCCTTCATCCAATGAGTCCTTACTTTCCAGGGAGGGGCTTAATGCCACTTCACCGTAGGACTGACACAAAAATTGGTCCTCAAGAACAACTTCTTTAGTTGTTTTAAAATAAACCCACATTCTGAAGTGCTGAATTAAAATACACTGAATTTATTGCTAGACCTTCTTATACTAGAATCTGTAAGACACAATACAAAATGTGATATTCAAAGAATTTTCAGAAACACACACTTTTTAATCCGTGAAAAAGGACCCCCATTTCTGATGTATTTAAGTGGAACTTCTGAACTAAAGAAAGCACCAAGAGTATAACATATCGTAGAAAGTATTTGCTGTTCACGGAGGAGTCTGGAGCTGACCTTTGCACAGGTTGCTATCAGTCAGTTCATAGCCAGTTCCACAGCTGATCTCTCTTTGACACCTGTAGGATCCCTGAGTGTTGATACACCGCTCTCCAGCCCGACAGGAATGGGACCCCAGGATACACTCGTTTATATCTGCAAGGGAAAGAAGAACTCTGGCTCACGTCTGGCTCAAGCACTCGCAATGAGCAGAAGCAGGCTAAGGAGGCAAGCTTGAAAGATGAAAATCCCAGTCCCCCACCCAAAGGCAAATTCTAATTTTCCTGACACCTGAAGAAGGCCCCACAGCCAAAATGTTGGGTCTCTTTTCGACATGGAATAACCCTTTACCTGTTCCTTTGCAGCTTACGCATGCTGACACAGCTACCCACTTGAAATTCTAATTCAGTGGCACGCCATCAAAGAGCATGTGTGATCTTGCTGTGTACTTTGAAATGTGTAACGAGAAAGGACCTTTAGATTTAGGTTAGACGGATACAATACCGTATTTTCATCTAGGATAACAAGCAGGACAACCAGACTTGACTGAAAATGGCTGGAAGGAAAAGGCTACAGCTGTAAACGTCTCCAGAAAGAACAGATTCACGTTTACTTTTTAATTGTTATTTTCTGTTTCTCACATCAGCCCAAAGCATGAAAGAATATCTACATCAGAAATAATATTTCTGATGAACACTAAAAAATCCAAAGATTTTCAAAAGAAAGAATAATCATCCTATTTACACTAATATCAAGAATGTCTTTTGTATTCATGAGCTACACATTTAAATACATATAGCTACATATCCAAAGAAACAAAAAATGTTATTTTAAAAACTTAAATTTTATACAGATTTATGTGGCTTGTAGCTCTATTCATTCATCCATCTTTCAATTTTATTTATAACTGCTGCTGGTGCGGTGACTCTGTGGCTAAGGATCTGCACCTGTGGCTGGAAGGTTGCCAGTTCAAATCCTGCGGCTGGCAGAGGAATCCTACTCTGTTGGGTCCCTGAGCAAGGCCCTTAACCCCTCACTGTCCCAGGAGTGCCGTATAAATGGCTGACCCTATGCTCTGACCCCAAGCTTCTCTCCTTGTCTGTGTCTCATGGAGAGCAAAGATGGGGTATGTGAAAAGACAAATTCCTAATGCAAGAAATTGTATATAGCTAATAAAGTGATCTGATCTTATCTTTATCCAATAGAGGGTCACAGGAGAGCTGGAGCCTTTACAGACACACAGTCTCATCAGGGCCAATTTTCCCAGTATCCAATTAACCACCAGCATGTCTTTGGACTGTGGGAGGAAACCCACGCCAACACGGGGAGAACATGCAAACTCCACACAGACAGCACCCCAAATCTGGAATTGAAAACAGGGCCCCAGTGCTTCAAGCAGCAATACTCGCCACTGCACCCTGCCTTTGTTACTCTATCTTTCAGTGATTCCATCTATAGAGTTCAAATGTTATTAAAACCTAATAGCACACATATTTAAATTCATTCCACGACGAAACGAAGCCGAGAACCACTCGGAAAAGCCCGATATACACCCACCTTCGCAAGTCTGGCCATCTGATTTTAACTTATAGCCTTCGAAACAGGAACAAGTTCCATTGCCGTGGCAACGCTGGGAACACTGGCCTGCTCCTGCAAGTCAGAGTGAGACATTCAAGACCGCTATTAAATCGTCTCACTTCGTTTCTCCCAAAAACAGAACAAAAATACAGTGACATGCTACAGATGGAGGCGAGATGTATTGTCAATGAAGTCAAATGAATAACTGTGGGAAGGCTTGCGCAGCTTTTAAGAATTCAACTATCAGGACTTTAATGTTAAGGGTTTCTCTAAATGTTTAAACGTTCAGAATCTCTGCTTAGCTGGAAAAACATGAAAAGCCATTTTCCTTCTTTTGGATCATCATAAGGACATTTTAGTTCCCAGTTCCATGTTTTGTCTTGTGAGAAACGAATGGTTTTGCGTAAAATAAACTCTCACTGTACCTCTACACTGGTCATCCAGATAAGGATCTTCCACTTCGGATGCAGGCAGGGCTTTGTCTTCTGTCACAAAAACAATATCACTTCCTGTATTAATTTTTCCAGCACTGAATAATTTCTTCATTCATTTAATTAAATATATTTTCAAAATAAGTCCCCTTCAGCATCAGATTTTGTTTCCATTTTTTTGTACATAATTAACTACAGAAACTTTAATTTGGTTATAGTTTGGATATTGGCCATAGTTTGGATTCATGGGAGTTTTGTGTTGAGAAGCAGGAATTTGACTATTTTGACAGAAGTGGTAGATAAAGTTAAAGGGCAGGAGTATAATAATATTTAATAAAATTAAACTTTATTTATAGAGCACCTTTCATACAAATAGCAGCTCAAAGTGCTTTACAAACCAAGCATAAAAATAAAATCTTAAAATGAAGAGATACACTTTCAGTTGTAAAGGAAAACACAGCCATACAGTAAAGCAACATAAATGTCAATTTATGCTTGTAAATAAAAATTTGGAAAGTCGTAATAAAATAAGAACAATAAAAGATAAATAAAAAAAGAAAGATAAATAGAATGAACAAAGAAGTATTTTCAAACGTTTTACCGAGCTTGACTGCTTCATAAAAAGTGGCGGCGAGTTCCATTATTTAGAAGCATAAAAACAAAAAGCAGCCTCTCCACTCTTACTATATTTCACATGTGCTATTTGCAGAAGGCCAGTATTTGCAGATCTCGGGTTATTGTTCAGGAACATAGAAAGACAGACATTCAGTAAGGTACATAGGTGCTATACCACTTATAGCTTTAAAAACAAGTAAAAGAACTTTAAAATCTATCCTAGATAATACAGGTAACCAGTTAAGTTCTTTCAGCATCAGCACCTTGATGGCTGATCTTTTCAGATCTCATCAGTACCTGGTCGGTACTTCTCCCTTTGGTGGACCGATATGTGAAGACCCTCCAATCTCCTTTCCAAAATATACAAACCAACGCCCCAGTAAGTAGTACTATGGCAAGTGCCAAAACATGCCCTGGACATTTCCAGCCATCCACTTTCTAACTGCTTTTTTCAATTCTGGGAGCCGGAGCCTATCCCGGAAAACAACGGGCACGAGGCGGGCTACACTTGTGTCAGGACGCTAGTCCATTGCAAAAGAACACACAAACACCCACACACTCACACCAGGGCCAGTTTCCCCAGACGCTAATTAACCTACCAGCATGTCTTTGGGCTATGGAAGGAAACCAGAGCACCTAGAGGAAACCCATACTAACACAGGGAAAACATATACACTCCACACAGAGTTTCTGCCACTGTGGAGCCCACCACTGAGACCGTTCACTGATTCTTAAGCTGTGGGAGATGTCATTGACAGGACAGTTGAGACAGTCACACCAGATCTTATACCATGATTTTGTGCATCCATAACAGAGAATGAGAGTGACTATGCTACCTAAGATTGCTATTTCTAGTTTCAATTTCTTTAGTTTAAGATTTTTCCATTCTTCCAGGGTGCGGAGCGGAGCAGTGGCTCTGTGGCTAAGGATCTGCCCCTGTGGCTGGAAGGTTGCCGGTTCAAACCTGTGGCCGGCAGAGAAATCCCGTTGGGCCCCTGAGCAAGGCCTTTAACCCCAACTGCTCCAGGGGCGCTGTACAATAGCTGACCCTGCGCTCTGACCCCCAGCTTCTCTCCCCGTCTGTATGACTGTGTGATCCCGGTCTGGAATCAAACCCAGGACCCAAGAGCTGTGAGACAACAGCATTAGAGCCATCATGCTCTTGTGTCTCCCTGTGTTTGACTGCCTTTGATTTAAACCACTCAAGCAACGCTGGAGGCTGCATTACCTTGACTTGGCTTTGCGTCGGCCTCTGAATTGCTATGATCGCAGCAGGCTCGTGACACGAGACCGCAGTGGTATCCCAAAGACAGGTTCTGCTCACAGCTCAGGCCCTGTTTATGCAAAGCTCGGCCCAACAGGCAGCAGTCACAGCACATCTATAAGACAAAACCACAACCTGTTACCACCTTTTTACTGTTTTTATCACCTTAATTGACTTTGATCTGGTAACGCTAACTGCTGATGTCCTTTACAACAGTCAGCTACATTCTGCCAGCAGCCATATCACCCTGCAACTCACAACTGGCAGCCCCACTGAAGCACAGCAGGTGTGAGCCTGGTCAGTACCTCCATGGGAGACCTCCTGGGAAAGCTAAGGTTGCTGCTGGAAGAGGAGTTAGTGGGACCAGCAGGGGGTGCTCACCCTGTGGTCTGTGTGGGTCCTAATGCCTCAGTATTGAAGTAGCGAAGGGGACTCTATACTGTAAAATGGCGCTGTCCTTTAGATGAGGCATAAAACTCTCTGTGGTCATTAATAATCCCAGGACGAAAGAAAGAGTAGGGGTGTAACCCTGGTGTCCTGGCCAAATTTCCCATTGGCCCTTAACAAATAATGGACTCCTTATAATCCCCATCTCTGAACTGGCTTCATCATTCTGTTTTTCTCCCCACCAATGGTGTGTGGGGAGTGTTCTGGCGCACTATAGCTACTGTTGTATCATCCAGGTGGGGCTGCACACTGGTGGTGGTGGAAGAGAGTCTTCAGGGTGAAATAAGCCTTGGCAAAGTATACAGAAGGATAGTGAAGTATAATCCAAAGTGTAAAACACCATAGCCAAGCATGTTTTATATATTTAATATTTAACATTCCATCTATGCTAACATACTGATTTCCGAAACAAAGCCTTCCGCCAGCATTCACCAAAAGTACTGGAATGAACAGTCAAACCCTGTGCTGTTTCTGTTTGCATATCTGAAACCTGGGCTTGGAAGATGCATACAGAGCTTTTAGAAGCATAGATATTGTTGGATCACTCAACCGCAAAGCCTGATGAGCACTATAGGGATCACCAAAGAGTCCTGGGGGCAACAAAATCGAATGTGAAAGTGCTGTAGTCACAGGAGCTGAATTTGTCAAGGTTCTTCATTTCTTAGCTTATAGACTGAGTACATAAGCATCGCTGAACAGCAGTGCCAACCTTCTCAGATGTGCTCAGGCCTATATATAGTCACAAGACAGTCTTCCTAACAGTTTAATCTGCCCTTTGTTGCTCTTTTAGGAGTATGGCAAATGTGAAGATAAAAGATATAAAGTAAAATAGTCATTGGAGTTGCTGACTTTCTGAAAACAATTTATCACAAATCCAGCTTTTTCATTTATATATTAATGTCTGACAGCCTGCACATCTATACATTTGATCTTTTAGTGCTTTCCATCTACCATTCAACAGCAGGGCAGAATGCAATGTAGCACATGAGCATAGTTGGGCAATTCCAAGCTACAGAAAATATATCCTTCCCGTCAAGAGATACTGCGAACTGAGATGACAGCTCACGCAAAGCCACTAAAATAAAAGCATACGCACAGCATTTTGTCTGTTTCTCAAAGCTGATGTTCCCTGTTAAGTGTGACGTCAAGCATTACTTGGGAGAAATAAGACCTAGTTTACATTGAACAAAAGGCTTGTGTTTATCTTTGGGAAATGTCTGGCTCTTTGGGTCCCTGTTTCACAGACCTTGGAAAGTCTTCTTTCACAGCTGGATCCACTTGCTAAGACTAAATCACAGACCCCCTGCTCTTTCGCCATGTTGATGCCAGTTGTGCAATGATTATCTTCTAGGAAAGCCATGCAGCATTGCTCCTGTGCTATTCTGGAAAAAAAAAAGAAAAAGACATCATCAGCAGCTTAGGGTCATCGGAGCAGAAGGGGGTACAGTATTAGATCTAATTTGCTGTGGTCATGTTGTACAGAAATGTTTTTCATCATTTTGTCAGGTCATATCTAAAAGTGTAACAAGATAAGAACACTTTATCGGCCATATGCAATTTCTTGCACCAGGAATTTGTCTTTTCGCAGACCCCAGCTTGCTCTCCATGAGACACACAGACAGGGAGAGAGACACTTGGGGTCAGAGCGCAGGGTCACCCATTTATATGGCACCCATGGAGCAGTTGGGGTTAAGGGCCATGCTCAGGGGCCCAATGGAGTAGGATTCCTCTGCCAACCACGGGACTTGAACCAGCAACCTTCCAACCACAGGCACAGATACTTGTTACAGATACAGAGCCAGTGCAACACACCTCAGTCATGATACATAATGTGAGCAGTTAATGTGACACTACCCCCATCCCCACCATTTTTCACACTTCACACATTTCTGTCACTTTGATCAAGGCTTTGTCTGGGTGGACCATAAAACTGTTGAGGTTCATCTTTGCACTTTGTAACTCTAGTCTGATCTTTGTGTTTTTAGTGCTGATGAGAGCTTTGCATCTTGAACTGTAGCCCTTGATATTCTGGTCGAAGTCTTCTGCACATAGTGATTAAGTAACTTTCTCTCCTGCATTCTTCTTATTTAGATCTTTTCACAGCTCTAATGATTTTTTTGTCATCAACAGCTATGGTCTTTTTTTGGATGACCAGGTCTTCATCCATTCCTAACTCCTCAAGCAGAGTTGTTCTTTTTTGAAGAAATTTCATATTCTTGATTTTGCCATGTCCAATCTCTCTACAGTGGTCCTGGTTTAAATTTATGTTTGCTCTCATCTTCACAAATGCTTGCTTTTTCCACCATAAACAGCTCTGTCGTCTTCCTCTTGGTCTGTTCCTCCTAACTGAAGAGGCAGACCCAAAAGGTCAACTCCAAAGGCTGAAACCAAAGGCTCACCATTTGCAACTAGTTTACATTTTTCAGATTTATGCAACACGAACACCTGTTGCATAAATTCTCAGGCATTTCTCAGGTATTTGTCCCAATAACTATGCTCATCTGAAATGGGGAAATGGAACACAACAAATGACATTGTTCCAACATGGCTCAACACATACTGTATGCAAAATAACCAGAAACAAAAGCTGAAATTCTATACTTCTGCCTCACATGTTTTGATCTCAAATTACAAATTTCATTTCATTGTCCTGAAATGCATTCGGGTTTTCACAGTACATTTATATTGTACTTAGCCAGCAGCCATATCACTCTGCAACTCACAACTGGCAGCCCCACAGAAGCTCAGCAGGTGTGAGCCTGGTGAGTACCTGGATGGGAGACCTCCTGGGAAAAACTAAGGTTGCTGCTGAAAGAGGTGTTAGTGGGGCCAGCAGGGGGTGCTCACCCTGTGGTCCATGTGGGTCCTATACGTGTCCATTTAACATAACATATGTCATTCAGGACAGTCTTGGTTGTGGTAAAGTGCATTATGGGTCCTTTTCTGGGTCCCTATTGACAGGGCAGCAAACTTCACTGGAGTTAAAATGCATCTCTTTGAATGAAACAGATAAATTATTTCCTTATTCCTGGAACCCAATAGGACAGCTAGTGCGTCAGACACATCACACATGTGATGAAGAAAGAAGCACGTTACTGGAGAATTTAAACTAGAGAGGCACATCCTGACAGCTCCCACCTTCCCTTGCCCACATGCACGTCATTGTCTTGACAGGTTGATTTACAATGTGACCGCAAGGCCTCTGGTGACAAATTGAAACCAGGCCCAACAGAAGTCTGTTAATGAAGCTTCTTCGAATTTTATAGCATCAGGTCTCTACGAGTCCTCTAAACAACAGTTGGGCTCATAAAAAAGCATCTTTTCGTCTCACCAGGATTTTTTTTTTAACTGGGTATTTCCATGAGACAACTGCGCATAACCACTACGCCTTTTATGGGAAAAATTTTAGAAGTGTTTTTCTTTTCTTTCTTTTTTCTGCCTGAAATAATCCTTTGGGCTTCCTGTTATTCCAAGTTTCAGTCCTTTCTCTCTGTATAGCTTCACCTCCAAGGTATTTCCTGGACTGACAACCAAGGCCCACCACCCCTTTTCTCTGATTTGTACAAATTCTGGATCATTTGCATTGCCAATAAAAATAATTTTACCTCAGAACTGCAGATTGTGTAACAAAAATCATCTTTTTTTTGGCTTGTCTGTGGACGTTTGACTGCTGCTGTTTTTCATTTGAGTGAAAACAATTGAATAAGAGCAAAACACAACGTTCAATTCACACTGTACTAGATCAAGAAAACGTAAACTAGGCCTCCAGCAGATATCGCACATCCAAGAAAAGGGCTGAAACACAATTCCCACACTTCCTACGCAACTAAGGTCATGGCACAGCACCCTCATCAAATAGACCACTCCTCTGCAAAACGTAGTGATTTTTCTACTCTTGGATACTGCGTTCTATGAAAGAGGTGCAGAATTCTTGCCTTTTTTTCCCTGAATTCCCTCCTTTGTTTCAAGAGAATCTCTGATATGTCTGTGTGGTTTTCCGACTCACCTACTTTTTAAATGCTACCCCTAGCCCTTCCTATTCCTAGTCTCCTAACCCTCAGACAACATGAAAATGACTCTTTTCTCTAGTTACAGGTTCGACCCATTGCTTTGGAAAACCTCCGAACTCTTAGAACAAGATTTTTAGCCTGCTTTTCTCTTTAAGGTGGTCCTTGAGCACCCACATCTCCCAGCCACCCGTTCGTGTTCTGTGTGGTGCTGCGCAGGCTGTAACACAACCGGTCTCTTCCACTTACCTGCACGTGGGGAGTTCTGACATCAATGGCAGGGTCGAGCAATCCTGTTTCTGGGTGGCCCAATCTCGTCCATTTCTACAGCAGTCGTCGAAGGACGTCTGCGCGTTCACTGCGTGTAAAAATATGAAGCCATGCGTCAGGACTGAGAATAAATCATACGGCATCATCATCATTGGAGTTTCTCTTCTGTAAACGGTCAGAAATTCTGTTTTTCCCTGGGAATGCCTGCAAGATCCATGTATTCACACAAGCAAACGGAAATACCATGCACAGAACTTGTTTTAGATGGTGAATCATTTTTTTTTTCACCAGCCAGGAGTATTCCTGTGACTCCACCCTTTGGAGAACCCTGCTGTAATTGCACCACTGGCAAACTCTGGGCAAGGGACCAGACTTTTACTCTATACTCACATTGGGCACATTCAAGGAAACAGACGAGGGCTGTGAAAGATTCAATCACACTGCAAGCCTGATCATTAGGAATAACCTCAAATACCCTTTTCTTGCTGCTACTAGAGTGGCATTATTGATCAACCATTGGATTAGAACCAAGGTTATTTTTTGCAGCTGTCATTAGATTTGAGTTTTCTGTCATCAAGAAAGAACAGGTGACTGTACGTTAGCTATGGTCGCGAGAAAAAGTTCGGGAACTTTTTGGAATAATCTGTACTCCTACATCAATGGCCCCCAGAATGTGATCTGATCTTCAACACGTCATAGTAATAGATAAACACAATTTGATCAAACAAGATAGAACAAAACAATGGTACTTCTTCTTGTCTATATTGAAGACACAGTTTAAAAATTCACTGTCTACACTGGAAAAAAAGAATGTGAACTTTTGAAATTAATTTAACTGGTGGAATCTTCTTTCGCAACAATGTCCTCAACCAAATGTTTCCTGTAGCTGCTGAGGAGTCCTGCACATGGATTCGGGTCTATTCTGGCCAGTTCCTCTTTACGTAACGGTTTCAATTGATATTTGTGGGCTGTCTTACGTGAACAGCCTGCTTCAGGTCAGGCCACAGTGCACAGATTAAGTGAAGGTCAAGACTCTATCTACTTATCTATTATTATAACAGAGATGAAGATAAGACCACATTTTTAGAAGCAATTACTGCAGGAATATAGCCAATTCCAAAGGGGTCACAACTCAGCACTGTAGGATATAAAGGAGTTCTTTCCTTGAAGCATTGCTTTGTGTAACTTCAATTATAGTGCAATTATACAATTATTTTTAAAAGATATAAAGGTAAGTGAGATGTGTGTATTCATCACTGCTTGGCTTGTGTGGATAATTTACTCAATATCACTAAAGACATTGGTGGTTTTATTGACACAGAGATCTGGATTGGATTTTGCTACCTTGGTACCTTAGAAGTGCATGTCCTTCAGTTTTTTCAAACATGTTCATTGTTGTTTCTGATGCTTTTATTAAGACATTATACAGGTCCAAGGGCAGGTCTCAACCAAAAGAACTTTATAAATCTCTATGGCGTTGAATACAAAACACCAGAAGCTCAAATCTAATGGTAAACTATTCTAAATTGTGATATTCTTTAAATGACCAGCCCAGGGGCCTCTAACAGAGACCAACATGAGATGAGCCAACATCTCAGGAATAATCCCAGCCAAGTACAGTACAAAATGAAACTGCAGAACAACCACTGAATGAAAAGATACCCATTAAAAATGTTTAGTGTAATTATAGAGGTGACCATTTGTATGGTTACTAACACATTCATTGCAAAAGGTGAGGGGTCCTGAATTAAGAAATAAAAACTTACATTCTAAACGCCTGCACACTCAAACAACAGGGTGTGTGACCGCCCACAAGGTGCGGTGGTCAAGGTTTTAAATGACCAAATTAAAAATAAATTTGACTAATATTTCGTGCTAATGCAGGAATAGTCATTTTTAGGACAAAACCCTTAACAGATGACGTGGGTTTTACAGTTAAAATCAACAGGCGGTCAGGAGAAGTGGCTCTGTGGCTAAGGATCTGCGCCCGTGGCTGGAAGGTTGCTGGTTCAAATCCCGCAGCTGGCAGAGGAATCCTACTCCGTTAGGCCCCTGAGCAAGGCCCTTCACCCCAACTGCTCCAGGGGCGCTGTATAAATGCCTGACCCTGCGCTCTGACCCCAAGCTTCTCTCCCTGTCTGTGTGTCTGTGTCTGATGGAGAGCAAGCTGGGGTATGCGAAAAGTAGAATTCCTAATGCAAGAAATTGTATAGGGCTAATAAAGCAACATTACCATTATTATCAAGTTTAAAATACCTCCTCTGGCCCATGTCCATCAGTAGGGGTGATGAGGACTGTCAACATGCACATCTTCACAAGCACTCTACTTTCCCCAAAGGCTTGACGTGCATACATCTGTCATCCCCACAGCTGAATAGACTTGCACTGGATGTAAATCCAGAGATCCTGGGATCTCTTTGATCTTTGCCTGGGATCTAACCAGTGGATAGATCCTAGGCAAAGAGCATTGGGCTTCATGAACCCTATACTGGAGCTCTTTTCTGAAGATCCATCTTCTTAACTGCTTTGTCCAATTCAGAGATGCTGGGGACCCAGGGTCTACCCTAGTCTGTGGATGCTTCACCGCTATTTTCAGTTTGCATAGCTACAATGACAGCTTTTACTGCTTGTGTCTGTCTATTTAATGCAATGATTTACCCTCATCTCTACATCCCTGTGTCTCAGTCTTCAAAACTTGATTTTGAGCACATGCATATATGCATATGGACATTATCCCTACACATGTAGCATCATGCAGCATTCCATACACTGGATGAAAACATGTAATTCCACGCTAACACATGCACTGAAATTAAGTAATAACACCTAAAAACTACTTGCCAGTGGCAAGAGTATTTTTTCTTCTTGTAATATATGCTCATCCAATTACACAGTAGGTCTCCTCTGCACCACATGCAATTATTCAACAGCAGTTACATCCAAGCAGATGACTGTTTATTCACTTAAGGTCATCCTAGCTTGCCATTAACTTTAATTCTGATTTAATTAATGTGTTTTGGCTACTACCTGCCCTAATTGTAAAAAACACTATTATTTTAATCACTATTGCTTAAACGGTGGAGCCCTGTTTAAGAGGTCAGTACATTCTCAAAAACCAACACATTTTCTTGGATGATTTTCAGTTGCAATTCTCTTTTTTTAAAAGAAGAGTGGAGCATTGGTTTATCAGAGAAAGCCTCTATGGTTCACAAGACATCTTTGGAAAAACCTAAAGTTGGCATACTTGTCCACAGATCTTTCAAACTGTTGCAAAAATCCAGTTAAAATACGACTGTCGGGTGATGAACTACAGCCAAAACAAATGAAAAACTGTGTCAATACTTCGCCTTAAATATCTGTGTAATCACGTCAGCCTTTGACTTGCAGATAGCTTCCAATCAAGACATTCATCTCAGCCAATACCTCGCATTGATCATCCACTCACTGTTGGTAAAGGCACGGGAAACACAATAGAATTCTTGCTTTAGCGCACATACTGATGTGATACAGAGCATTGTTTTTAAAAGACTTCAAAAAGAGAGCAGAAAACTTTGTTCAGCACAAGGTATTCCAGGACGCTCAGTAAAGCATACATCTAACAGGGAGTAGTGTGTAGAACGTTCAATTTCTTATTGCTACACTGAACACGCCTATTGAGCTGAATGAGAATGTCAGAGCCTACATCTTGTCACTACAAGTTTGCCTTCTCTCCCTTTGCAGGCGATAAGGGAGGTGCACACACTCATAAAAGCGACTGTAGCCAAGGAGCACAGTTTGCAACCCATCTGTAAAAATCTGGTATTAATCTGGGGTTTTGAATTTGATACACTGCGGATCTATAGCTTAATGCTGTGCTGATTTATCTGAGTGTCACTGAAGCTGAGCTCTGCTTACGCATTTAACAGATTATTTGGGATTGCACATGCATCATAAATTAAATCATGGGGCTGAAGAGACGAAGACCTGCGATAAATCTAACCCCCACCCCCCACCCGCCTTTGCAAAAATGTGAAAGCAGGACTTTCAGCACTTGAGTGGCTGTGGGGACAGTGTCTGAAGACACTGCAGCCCGAGAGAGGGCAGCGGGTGTCACTAAAGGTGATAAAAGAGACCATGAGGAGGTCAGATTTGAGAAATAACCGGGTTTGAGCATCATTCCTCGGGCAGAATGCGCCTTCAGAGTCATGTCTGCTCTGCGCACGTCCGCTCTGCCTGTGCGTCAGCTCCACCTCACTGGCAGTGTAAAATAGGGCTTATCATTGGAACGGCTGCAGAGGAGAAGAGCAGCACTCCTTTTAGTGGTACGGTACATTTTAGAAGGCAAATAATAGGCACCCCCATAAATGAATACAAATTCTTTACACTTATATGGCATTTTTCTGGACACTCCACTCAAAGCGCTTTACAGGTAATGGGGACTCCCCTCCACCACCAGCAGTGTGCAGCATCTACCTGGATGATGCGACGGCAGCCATAGTGCGCCAGAATGCTCCCCACACACCAGCTCTCAGTGGGAAGGAAAACAGAGTAATGATGCCAGATCTGAGGATCATTAGGAGGCCATGACTGGTAAAGGCCAATGGAAAATTTGGCTAGGACACCTGGGTTACACCCCTACTCTTTCCAAGAAACACCCTGGGATTTTTACTGACCACAGAGAGTCAGGACCTCAGTTTTACCTCTCTTCCGACAGACAGCACGTTTTTACAGTATAGTCTCTCCATCACAATACTGGAGCATTAGGACCCACAGTGACCACAGGGTGAGCACCCCCTGCTGGCCTAACTAATACCTCTTCCAGCAGCAACCTTAGCTTTCCCAGGCGGTCTCCCATCCAGGTACTGGCCAGGCTCACACCTGCTGAGCTCCAGTGCTGGCAAGTGTCCCTAAGAGGCCCTGCCAACCCAAGATCTATAAAATGTATGCAAAATATTAAAAATAAATAAATACACCACTGTAGCTTAACAAGCCTCAGGCTGAAACACACAAACCTGACCAGTTCTGTACCACCCAGAGCCCATTTGCACAGGCATCATCATTTTTTACATATACAGTTTTGGATTATACCTCTGGAGTCTGGAGTTAATTGACCGGTTTATGAGCATAAGCTGTCTGAGGAAGGGGGGCTGAATTCCTGCAGACTTTTTTGGTTTTGGTGGTGGGACCAAAATTTAACGGCTCGCCTGTCCCAGTGCACTTGCCTGGTATGACATTCCTTTTCTCTGGACATGAACGGCTTCAAAGCGAGAAGAAAAAAAAACAGTCCTTACAAATGTAATAAGCATTCACTACTTGGAAGCCTAGAAGAAAACTGGCATTTCCCCATAAGAAATGTCAGGAATATTTCCTTTACTTCTACTTTCTTAGTTTTGGCAGACTGGTTTTATTGGACAGGTTTTGCACAGTGCTGTCTAGGGACTGGTGCCAAATATCATTAATAGAAATACTACAGCCAAAATAGCCAGAACCCAGAGTTCCCCACTATTCAACAATTAAGACTTATCCATGGCAGACACATCTGCTTCAAAAGTAGACAAAACTACTTGACAGGGCCAGATTACTACAAAAGCTATTGATATCTTTTTCCAAAACACAAAGGCTGGGGGGAAAGCATTCCTCACAGACTGGAAAAAGTGATGAAGCAACATGTCTTCTGGTCGTTTCTTCTACTGCACATGGGCCAAAGAAAACGATTTCTTCACAGCTAACCACTTGAAAAACAGAGTTACTTAGAGGGAAAGCACACCTGTTCTGTGCCAGGCAATATTTCTGATTCAACGCCACACACTGACTTTAAAAGTGTGATTTCGTAATCCATTACGTATTACACATGACAACTTTTCTTTACTAAATTTGCTTTCCATCTTGGCTGGGCCATTTTGAATTTCGGGGGGAAATTCTGTGTAGGCAACTCATCCGAGACGTCCACATTGTCCTTTGCAACATTTCAAGTGCTCCAATATAACCACGCCATGACAGCTATTTGAAAACAGGCATTAATTTTTAAACCAAAGGTTACTTCCTATTACCTCAAACAATTACAATCTGATTACAGTAAAAAAACAACAACTTGTGAAACTTCTAAAGAATATAATCACCTCAGCCTGTCAATTTTGATATTTTATTGTGGAAATTAGATTAAATAATTCTTGAATTAAGTTTTAAACTCCCATATTGAAAGACCAGATTAACATAAATGTTTTTTAGAGCCCATCACTGTAATTAAATAAACCTTATTTAATGGTGTGCTGTTACAAAATACTTTCATTCCAAATCATTCCAAATCCCAACAATAGTATTTTCATACATCTGCCCATGTGTGCATGGCTCTCAAACACACCTGTGTCTGATCCCTGATGAAGTTCTTCTTTTCAGAGAGATGTTTGATATGTAATGAAATGTCCAGAGGGCAGAATAGCAACTGAGAGGGAAAGAACAGAGCTTATGAAGTAACTGAACAGAATATCCATTTTCTAACTACTTCTTCCAAATTCAGAGTTGTGGGAAGATGGAACCTATTCAGGCTAAGCTGCAGGCACAAGGCTGGATAAACTCTGGACAGGACACACCAAGGCCAAATTTCCCAGAAGCAAATTAACCTACCAGAATGGTTTTGTACTGTGAGAGGAAACAGGTCATGATTAGAATTATACAGTCCAATTCCTAGGACAAGCACAGTAGATAATTTTATTTAGCAAACAAATTCAATAACCATCCTGTTCAGTAAAACCCCATATGTAAGTTGATAGAACTACAGTCTAACACCTGTGCAAAAACAGCATTGTATCCATGTCTGATGTTGCTCTCCTTCCAATGTTAGTGTCCTGGGAGTGATATCTGCTCACTTTCTGATGGACTCACCTCACCCTTTATAAATGACTAAGCTGTAGATGAAAAAGAGCAAGGTCTTGCTTTTCATTCCCAGTGTTTGAGTTGGTTTTCTTTATTTTTAATTGTGTTTGTCAGTCTACACAGATAATTATAACAATTAATCTACCAATTAAAGCCAAGTATTGTAACAGGAGTGGGGAAAAAAAGGTTTCTATGGAGTCTATAGATGCATGTTGATCCAGACCCACAACAAATTACTTTTGTGGAGTTCTGCTCCATTACAGACAATGCCTTCCAAACAGAAAAAAAAAATAATAATAATTGCTTACACTTACTTTTCTGGACACTCCACTCAAAGCACTTTACAGGTAATGGGAACTTCCCTCCAACTAGATGATGGCAGCCATATTGACTGTTCCTCAATAACTACTTGTACAGCAATTACAATATGTATTCATTCAGAAAACAAGCCAAATATGTATTCTTTTTTAGACAAAAACGTTGTAACTACATATGTTCTGAACAGCCAAAAATAATGTTTATGTTTTGATATTCATAAATTAGTAAAATCAATGTTAGCATATATACTAGATAAGAGCCTGTGACTCTTATTGATCTGATCTCCAGAGTTAGAAAACTTAAGCAAATTGCTCAGGATATTAAAAGATACTAGAACATGGAGATCTAAGTTATGATATAGGATAGTCTGGCAGACAAGCTAAGGTGCTTAACTCCTTTAAGTTATATGTTTGCCTGGAACTCTTGACTTGATCAAGGTACCGAAATAACATAAATCCTATAGGCAGAGCTAAAATTCCCAAGCGTGTTGATTAGATTGAATTTACTCTGTCAACTACCAGTGTGGTAACCCTTTACTGTGTCTTTAGACGGATAAAATAACATTTTGTACACATGTGCATTATAGAAAACATTAGTAACCTGATTTAACAAATTAAGAAAGAGCACCTGTTTATTTCATAGCTACACCTACTCGTATTAGAATATTTAAAAGGCGATTAATACGAAGTGATGCCACACTTGGACAATGTGCGGATGAGATCAGTAACTGTGGTCTCATCTGCACAATTGGGGCTCATTTCCCGTCACAAAATCTGCATGTTGGAGCCTCGGGTAACGCGTTCAAAGACACTTTTCACCAACCATTAGTCACATATCCAGCGTGTTCGGTGTTCATGCCTAGAAACCAGAATAATGTCCCTCGCCCGGCGTTCAATCCTGTTGCTTTGCTTAAAGAAAAAAAGGCATTTCCCCTGCAAGGCAAAATCTTTCGTAGGTATAAATGTCTTCTGACATTTAACATAAAGAAGCAATTAATACTTAATCGGTCAAATTCTGCACGCTATTGCGATAAGTATTTGTTGGTTCTCTCGTTCATATATAAGCAAGTCAGACAGAACAGGAGCACGTTTATCACATTTGCTGAAGAAGTCTTGCAAACGGATAAAAAAAAGCACACGTGAAATACGGGCATTCGCGTTGTTAGTCGTGCATAAATGCGGTCAGTAGGTGATCAACATGAACCCATAATAAACTGTTTCCAATGCCCAACATTACAAGAAAAAGTCCTTTTCCACGTGAAAACTTCACTTTTTTATTGAAAACAGGGCGAGAGGTAACGTTTCTTACCTTGGCCGCTGAGAACTTCGAATAAAGCAAAAAGCAACACGCCTGAGAGTGCCATTACAAAAGCAAAAAGGAACCAAATTTATGAAACTGAACTCCAAAAAAGAAAAATTCAGCCTGTTTTTTTTTGGTTGTGTGTCCAGTTTATTCTGTGTTGAAAGCAGTCTTCTCTATTGGGTAAACAACTCTCACCATCTCACACGCACTTTAATGAGAGGGATTCAACAGCCGCTCTGAGATAAATGGCTTAAAACACAGCACGACTGTCTAGCAGCGAAGCTCTAATTATCCCGTCTCTCCGGGGGGTCGTGTGGGGGCTATCTCCCGAGACTAGGGCTGGGCTTCTTTCAACTACCAGTGAGACGTTTAGTAATTCAGAACTGAAGATAAGCTTCAACATAACGACGGTGAGATTTCACGACCTCTTTAAATAAAAGTAATGATATGTCTAAAATGCGATTTTACTTTTACCCAGACCTCCGCAAGCTTTGCACATCTTGATTTAAAACACTGTATCCTATTGCTAGTTGCTATATCATCAACGCGTTACGCGCATTACTGAGTCTCAAAGGGATACCCTGATTTTAAGGAGTGAGAGATGCAATTAACCGATCAGTTAATAAACCTGTGGTGAGGTTTGTTGCACTGATGTCCCACTATTACTGTAGACATTCGTGTGGAAATAAACTTTTAAAAACCGCAAAATGGTTCGCTGAATCCATCTTCAAACAAATTGGTTAATAATTGAAATGAATAAGTAACTAAGCTGTAGCACCAATAAACCGATTACCTGCTTTTAACTTACCAGTCTTGATGAGACAGCCTGATGTCATTTTCTGTAATATTCAATAATAGGACATGTTAAATTTTGAATGCAGTGGGTTTCCTGGGGTGCTATCTGCATGGAGTCTGCGTGTTCTCCCTGCATTCATATGCGTTTCCTCCCAAATGACCACCAGACATGCTGGTAGGACGACTGGCTTCTGGGAACATTGTCCCTGGCGTGAGTGTGTATTCGTGTCTGTGTGTTGGCCCTGGGATGGACTGGCATCCCAGCCAGGGTGTACCCTGCCTTGCACCCAAAGCTTCATGGGATAGACTCCAGCTCCCCAGCACCCCATATACTAGATAAGTCATTATTGAAAGTGATGGTGATAGCGATCCTCATGTCATCTGCCAAACAATCGCTGAGCTTTAGATTGTCAGGAGACGGTGCTGTCTTGAAAGCTACTCATGAAATCGGTGGCACAGCCACAGACAGTTCACTGTATCATGACCGTTTAACAGCGAGTAAGAAAGAACTTCAATTCTGTGAAAATGCAGAGCAAAGCCTGTGAGAGATAGAGAGTACAGCAGGACGTAAAGATGAGCCAAAGCTGAAGAAGAAGTCTGTAAAGACTTTAAGCTGGGAGAGTCCTCCAAAATGGCTTCTCTGCTTTTTATTTTAGCCATTCGATACTTGATATCCATCAAAGAAACAACAAACAAAAACCCCCAAACATCAGAATATTAACAGCAAAGTAGAACCTTTTGTAAAACACAGAAAATCTACTTCACAGAAAGATTTGGGAGATCCAATCAGAGCTGTATTACCTGAAAAGACAATTTTCCACACTCAGTGTATAATGAAGAGTGCCAAACAATGCCAGATAAAAAAATATATTACCCCCGACAGGCTATTGGGCTATTATCCATCTGTTCATTTTCTAACACATTTAACCAGTACAGGGTTGCAGGGGAGCTGGAGCCTGTCCCAGCAAGCAACGGGCACAAGGCAGGATATGCCCTGGACAGGACGCCAGTCCTTCTTAGGAAAGACAGACGCACACACCAAGGCCAATTTTCCCAGAAACACTAACCATGGCATCATCGTGATTCCCAACAGACTATTGACATTTCACCTTATCTTTTATACATCTTCAATTCATCAACCTCCAACATTGATCTTAAAGGTAAGGCTGTCATTCAAAGCTGTTGTTGTTAATCAAATTCATAGGCACTTCCTAAGTATTTTAACATATGCAGCCCCAGGCCCTGTTGAAATTGTCATACACAGATCAGGCATCTGTAAAATTTTAATACGTCTGTTCTTGCACATATATGCTATGACGACATCTGTGTACTAGAGCATATGTTGTGTGAAAGAAAAACATTGTTTTACTAACACCTTAGGAGTGTTAAAGAAAATATATTCAATTGCATCTTTAACCGACAAAGGTGTATACCATTTGGTTGAGAAAAAATAATCAGAAAATGGATTCCAAATGTAACCCCCAGGGCAAAAATAATTTTGCCAAGCTTAAAAACAATCAAAGTAAAAGACCTGGTTTTGATACCAGGCGCGGTTCTATGAAATTTCAGTCACCCTGGATTTGGGAGAAAAAAGCACCAAGATTATACTAGCTTGAAAGTGCTGCCATGTGCTCAGCGCAAGATTGTCCTTTTGACCAACTACTTTTTGATGGTAAGCATGCTATACTCGTGTACAGTCATGCTCCTCAAGTCTCTTTGTGCTTCTTTGATTTTCTTGAGTGTTTCGGCATTCACACAAACTCGACTGCGTGCTCATGATATAAAAATCCTGAGCAAATGAACACAGTTGCGGGATGACAGTGTCCACATTTCTAACACTGATTTTAAAGTGTCAGCTTTAAACACAGTCCAGATTCAAACACTGTTAAGAAGGGTAAAGGCAGTACTAAGCTCTGCAAATTCTATTTTTAAGTCATCAAGCTATTTACACAATGGAAGCACCTCAGACAAGGCTTTTTATAAGAATACTGAAATGTTAAACTGATGTTTCTCCTTTTTTGTCACTTAGCCATTACTTGACCCTGGTATTAAGTTTTAAAATGGACTTTGATTCATACTATATCTATGTTAATTGTAACCAAATTGAATCTTATCATGGAGTCCACAATAAATAAAGCATTAGCCCCTAGCACACTTATCTTATCCTTTTCATCTGAGTTGACCACAGAATGTTAGAAAGGACCATTTTTGAACAGATGCTACATAATTGGAAACAGACTAGAGGGCTGCTAAACTACAGGCCCAAAAAGATCTAAAGAAGAAGTAATCTTTGAGGCCCTCACAAACAACCCTCTGCACAAAGCTTTTTCATTCCATTTACCCCCCACAAAGATTTAACGAGAAACAGCAATCGCAGACGAAGCTTTCCTTGGTAAAGGAAATAACTGAAACTGAGGTCAGTTTTAAATGGCAATAATCTTTCCAAGGGCACTTTTTTTTCCCCTTTTGAAGCCTGATTTAACTTGCCTGTCCACGTCTGTGTCAAACAGCAGTGGTTCTCCTAATGATGAAAGCAGCTTGAAATTTCCCTGCTTGTTTCTGGAAATCCATTGCTAGTTTTAAATGCCTCCAGTGCACAGAATGGCACATTACCCAAGGCACGCAACGATACAGATGAAATTACTTTGTGGATCATAAGTAAGTATGACAGACACTTGTAGGTCACTTCAATACCAAAAACAAGAGATGTAAACTGAACTGGAAATTGCAAATCAAAGCTCTAGAAGTGTTGAAGCAAGACTTGAGAAGTGTAACATCAATTAACACTGTTCTAGGTAGTTTGAAGGTTGCACTGCTCATTATTAAATGAACATTCATAATAATCAAATGATCAACACTCCGCGCTCGTTAAGCTTTTGGAGACTTTAATACCTCACAACCAGACTTATGGTTACACGGTATGTAAAAGTTATTGTGGTACCCTGGGGTCAGAGGTCAAAGCTCTCAGTAGGACATAAGGTGAAAAGCCCAAAATGCTTGAAAACAATAATTGAACTGAAGGCATCATCTGTATGGAATAGCATTACGATAAATGAAATCAAAAAGCTTTGAAATACAACCTGACAACCCAGATGGAAAATTGTCAAAACTAAATGGATAATGGTGAGCTAACTTCAAAGACGCATGCTTGATTGCACCAATATAGAAACCATCTCAAATTATGAACTATAGTTAAAACCAGTTTTAGCTTTCACCCCTGCTTCACACTAATCAAAAGTATTTTTTAAATTCACTTGATGTAAGCCTGCTGCTTATAAATGTCACCTGCATGGTAAATTGCATTATTTACTTTAGAAAAATTGAATATAGATCTTTAACATTGCTTATATTTAAGTTCCTTTTAAATGCTGTACATAAATGTGCAATTTACTAATCATTAAGTGAAGAATAACTCCTAATCTAGAACTGTCTGATTAATATTTTATTATTATTTTATTTATTTTTATAGTGCAATAGAGTCCCTCATAAAATAATCACCTACAGAAAATCTTAAGAATGATATGTTTCAGAGTGACTCACCCTTTCTAAAACAGTGAGACTGGGCCGGTGATATGTCCCTGATTCTTGAGGATTTACAACTAGTAGCAAATCAGAATGCTTTGTTTTGAATTGCAAATTAGTGAAGAAATCAGAATGGATAAAATACCACCTCATATAACTCCGTTCTAAATGCTTATATCTGAATGCTATACAGGTAGGTTTTAGAACTGTGGTTCCCAGATCTGGTCACTGGTACTTCCTGAAACAAGAGTTGTAATAAACTGGCTATCACCAACGAAAGACCCCCAAGTGTTAAAGCAAGACTTGAGAAGTACAAGAAGAATTAACACTGTTCTAGATAGTTAGAAGGCACCGCTGCTCATTATTAAATGAACATCCTTTCACAATAATTAAACAAGAAACGTTCTGCTTTTGTGAAGATTTTGGGGACTTTAATAGCTTATAACCTGGTACGAGACATAAAATGTTTTAGGGGGATTCGGATTTTGAGGCTTTCAGTCATAATCCCTAGACTGGCAGCTTCACAGCATAGGCTCTCCTGAGCCAAGCACAGACACTGGGTGTGTATAAAAACTACTGACAGGAACTCCAGCAGAAGGCTGAATCAAAAGTGATTTCAGTTTTTTGTTTGGGGTATTTTTGTAAATATGATCTCTGCTCTGTAAAAATGTAAAATGGAATTTGTAATTGGGATCAACTCTAGATGAATTTAGAAGAAAGAAATACACTTGTTCACTTTTATCTATATCCTCACTTATATTGAAGTGTCCCCCTCACATTACTGGGACATTAGGATCCACACAGACACACACAGTGAGAGCCCCCTATTGGCCCCACTAACACCTCCACCAGAAACAACTATAACTCTCGCAGGAGGTCTCCCATCCAGGTACTGACCAGGCTCTCACCTGCTGAGCTATAGTGGGCTGCCACTTGTGAGTTGCTGGGCGATATAGCTACCGGCCATCCACTATCCATTAGTTAACTAGGAAGATCTGTTTAATTGGAAATAAGAGCAACACAGCTGAGGAGAGGCTGTGTAAAGTGCTGCGTTTTGAAGTTGCTAGGACAAGTATTCCTGAATAGGGTTTTTTGACGCTCCCTAATGGCTGAAGTATGAGATTTCAAGCCTAAACGAGCAAGCAAATCAATATTGTCTTCACGTCGCCTTGGAAATGTAGAGCTCAAATGGAATGAAAACCAGCAGATGCAGTCTTCTTCCAAGAGCAGGCCTGGGAACAACCCAACCCTGGTGTCAGAAATAAAATCCTAAAACGGAGGAAAATGGCCTATTATTGCGGTAACCCCTATCATTGGGATCACTGAGAAAGCATTTACAGAGAACTGCACCATCTCCATGAATATAGTGTTCATGTGGGTATCCTCCACATCCTCCAGGTTCTGGTAGGGTAACTGGTTTTTGGGAAAATTGGAAAATTGGTGTGTCTGCCCTGCAATGGACTGGCTATCCGTCCAGGGTGTATCCTGCCTTGTGCCCGTTGCTTGCCAGGAAAGGCTCTGGCTGATCCTGTATTGGATTAAGTAGTAAAACCGAGGGGTAGCCACAGGAAATTAAATATCAGGATCCATATGGGTAAAACTTCAAGAATTCTAAGGAGATTGTTATTCATGGTCAAATAAAAAAAATCAACAGTATAAACTATATGACAAACTGCTGGCAATGTATTAATGAGAGCTTATCTTCTCAAAGACTTAAATCTTTAGCAGGATTGAAAATGAATTTGTAGTTATAAGAAGTTATCAGCCATTTTTTGCCCAAGAGATACTGCTTGTACCAAAGGCCTGCGCTGACATGTTTCTCAAACAACCACCCCTTCAAGACACTATGCTGGGAGCAGTTAATAGGTTGTACAGTTTGAGATAAGGTTTCGTGATCTATAATTTGAGATGGAATGAACAGAAACGTAATGTGAGTTTAAAATCAGTAGACTGGAGTCTGACAAAAAATCGTTAGAAGAAAATTGTAAGAAAAAAAATTGTTGTACTAGGGGCACAAATTCAATGTTAAGTAAACAGTAGTCTGCAAAGGCCATAATGGCCATAATCGCTGAATAGGTTGATAAAAGAAGCATTAGGAAGATGATTTTTTTATAGCTTAAACCATATAATGCATTATACGGCATTAAAAATTATAAAAGGAAAACTGAACATGAACAAATCCAACACATACAGTCTCCGTAGATTCAGGGACAGTGTTGAGGTTACACAGTACCAGGTTGTGCTAGGAGTTTTCCTATTTAGTTCAATTCTAAAGGTAGTTGTGAGAGTTCCCAGACCACAGGATGAAAATCACGGGTCTTGTGGATCACTAGACGATGGACTGTGAAGTGTCACATGTAAAGCTGATTAAAAGAGTAGGGACATACTCTAATGCTCTGGTAAGGCACTATACAGAGAATGATTTTTAAAAAGCCTTGGACGAACACTACAACCTTATACTCCGCTGTGATTAGTCAATGTGGACCATATTCTCAAATGGACACAGTGCATATAAAATAACTCCAACACAAAAACAGTGTTGAATGCCACACAAACCTCAAAGCAAAGCATTTTATAGCTATAATGAGAATTTGTTATTGCTACATTTCGACAGTAAAACAGACACAGTAGTGCACATTGTGGTTCCTTAGGACATGACTTTCAATTAAAAATGTCAAACTTAAATGCTTCCGCAACTTGCAATCCTTAAATGTGCGAATTCATGTACTTCCCCATTGCTTTTGGCAACACCAGCTCTTCACTCATTAGGGCACTGACTTGTTCATAGCGTAAAACTGAGGTCCTGACTCTCTGAGGTCATTAAAAATCCCATGGCGTTTCTCGAAAAGAGTAGGGGTGTAACCCCGGGGTCCTGGCCAAATTTCCCATTGGCCCTTACCAATCATGGCCTCCTAATAATCCCCTTCTATGAATTGGCTTCATTACTCTGTTCTCCTCCCCACTGATAGCTGACGTTAGGGTTAGGGTACACTATGGCTGCTGTCTCATCATCCAGGTGGATGGGGCTACACACTGGTGGGGGAGGGGAGTCCCCATTACCTGTAAAGCGCTTTGAGTGGAGTGTCCAGAAAAGCGCTATATAAGTGTAAGCAATTCTTAATTATTATTATAAAGCAGGTACCCAAACCAATTCATTATTTCAAAGGCAAAATTACTTCACCCTCAGGACCAACATGAACACAATCACTAAACTACTCGGACCTGTGGTTTGCAAATACATGTTAAAATCTCTTGGCTGAATAATGATTCAATATATATACACATGATACCAGTGTTAAAAACAAAATCACATTTTTAAGACAAATTTGAGTTCTTTTCATGCTTTATGCTCTTTCATAACAGGAAATCTATCCTGGCAACAAGGTTACAGATACACTGTGACATAATAAAAGACTAGATCTTTAATTGCTTACATTTTAATTTTTTTTTATTCTTACAATTAAGCACCTTAATTCCCTATGATTAAGACCCAGAGGCATGACCTAACAGATAGTTCTCTTGCATGGCTGCTTTCATTAAATTACTGGCACTGGCAAATTAAAAAAAATGCTTTGGTTTCATCCCAAAGACTGAGAACACTGAGAGAAAATGTTTAAACAACCTTTTTCACATTACTTCCCTTTCTGTACTTACAATAACTTGGTATCTGTAGTTAAAATTTTAAATACAAAAAAGCAGCAAGTTAAAACCTGGTTGGTAGCACATACTAATGTAGCTTTCACATACTAATCAAATAGTATCGCTACAAAACCTAGTGAAAATGCACAAAAATAAATATTCATTACAAAATTGTCTTTCTTTTATGTTACAACAAACCTTCATAACATTATATTGGGAGCAGTTATTATGATGATTGCATGCCAGCAGGTTTTCTGGCAATTCAATATTAGAACTTTTGTGTAGATACAGTATATACACATCGTAGAGTTTTCCGGAAAACATTTTGAAGTTAAAAAAATACTTAAAAATTGGTTTCTCATGTTAAAAGTGTCCTACTTAGGCATATCTTAGGTTGAAAAGGCTGTTCACAGATAATTAAACAGGATACACACAAGAGACACCATTTGACATGTTTCATTTACCTGAAAAGGTTAGTTTTTGGACAAAGTTAGTCTATTAATGAACATAACGTGGCTGTTTCAGCAAATGTTAAACACAGGAACACATTCTAAAATACCTTGGAAATTCTGCTTAGATCACTGTTTAGGGTTTATATAAATTTGCAGTGTGAAGACTTCAGACCTGCACAAGTGTGTTCAGAGAAAATAGATTTTTTTAAATGTGGCCCAGACCCACCAAAATCAAAGTACTGGTATGGTCTGAAAAAACACATCTATTCTGATTCTGAGATTGGTTCTCAGCTTAAACAGACGCAGGGTAGCATCATCATCCAATTTGGGAATCGGCACACTTTCGCAGTTTCTTTTTGGGCTGTGAAGGCTCGTTCTCTCCCTCTCTGGCCACTCCTTCGACTTTCTGTTCGGGAAACTTCCGTTCCGGATACAGGATCCTCAGGCGTTCCTCAAAAAACTTTTGCAAGGTCTTGCCAGCCGCAGCAACTTCAGAGTCTGGCTACAAGACGTGTAGAGGAGAGAAGAAAAGGGAAAGTGCAGATCAGACAAATCAAAACCGCCCATATTACTGTGCAACTCCCTGCAGACCTCAAAAGAAAGGTTAAATGTTACACACGGTTGCAGTAATTTGAGAAAAGAGACAAAACATATCCGTGCTAGGAATACAAGATGTCAGGGACTTCTGGGAAGATGCTCCCCTCGAGTTTTTCGCTAAAATGGTAAGAAAACATAAATTTTTCACCTTGCAAAATGCTTTTTTTTATTTCAACACACAAAACAGGACTGAAACGATCGACTTAGATTTTATGATTTTATTTCTATCACTCGCTTTTGCCTTTATGGTAGATTACACTATTTTAAAAGGAAAAATAAATCATACTAAATCTTTAACATTTAAATGTAACCCACTTGTAAAATGTGTCTCACAACAGAAAGGTAAGGCACTGATCTTAACTTATGTGAAAAAATTAGTGGTAAAACAGCAAACTTTATACCCATTAAAATGATCAAGATTCTTGGTCTCTGTTTTCAACACAACACCTGACATTGGAAAAAGAAGACTAATAAAGACAATAGACTTTATGATGAATTTCTAAGCTTAAATATTGATTTTAACAATTGGAAACCTATTGGGTTCGCAGGTACATTGAGATTCTGTCGTACCTCATTAAATTCTGCACAGTTCAGGAAGATAAGCCTGATGTCTGCAACAAATTCTTCTGGGTCGCTGTAACACTGTTTTTGTGCCTGAAGTTTCTCCTTCACAAGGGACAGATCCATTGGCGTCTTGATAATTGTGTAGTAGTCTGGCACAATCTAAACAAGAAAGGCAGGTCACTTTTTATAAAATATCGACATCAATGACGCACCAACGGAAAAAAAAAAATGGAAACAGCGATGTTAAAGAGACTTAATAGGGCACAGTGCCACCAAATGGCTGTAGATGTCTCTAAGATTGTCCTGCAAATTCTTTCACAAGAAATCAATTGACATATGGCAGTTTTAATGGAGAAGGAAAACGCTATGATCAAGCAACATTATAATATCCCAGCGCTCAACTGGGTTTAGATCTGGTGACCAAACAAGTGTCATGCTCATCAAATCACTGGGTGACCACATGGGCTGTCTGGATGGAGGTACTGTCATCGTGGCAGACAGCCCTCCTAGCAGGCATGGGTTGAAGGTGATCAATGAACACCATTAAGTAGCGTTAGGCATTGACCAGGTCTCCTAAGGAAATGAGTGCTTTCAATCTATGCCAAGAAAATCCATTTCGTAGTATTACAGAACCACCAGAACCCTTTACTGCTGGAACCATGCACTTTGGTGTGGCTTTTAGAGGTTGACACTGTATATGCACACTTCTGTTTGTCCAGAACATGGCGAAGGATAATTTATATGACTGTATATTACGCTTCTCCTCTGTTAAAGACTGCTATGTGCTCCTGTGGGATCTCTTTCTTCTCCATGATTACTTACGGATGGTGGGACAGGCTCTTGGAAGTCGGCGCTCTGTTCGTGACAGTAGAGGTAAAGTAAAAGTCTTTCACATTTCTAGAAAAGTCGAGGAAAAAAACATGTACCATGCATTACAAACATTCTGCAGCTTCTGGCGTGATGCAAATGGGAAAAAACAGTCATTTCGGTCTGGAGGATGACCTATATAATAGTCCAGCGGATACTGCTAGAAATTTGTTGTTTTGAGAAGCATCAGCCCAAGTATACCTACTTGATATACTTAGTGTATATATACATTCCTACTGGCATACCTACCAGCTAATTGCTTGAACTTTTTCAGTCTAAGTAGGGCCAATATTATTTCTCACCATCATACCCACAAAACTTACTTTGGAACAGAAGACACAGATGAGACGTATGTAAAAAACATAGTGCAGCATTGGTATAATTCTTAACAATGTCATTTACAGTGTTGTTCTCTTTGTTATTAATGTCAACAAATAAAACATGCCCACAAAACATATTGAGGGAACATATTAGAATAGACTAAATTTTCACGTGTGAGGTATTATTGGTAAATTTGTATTATAAAAGGGTTGATGTGTAATGTCATCTGCATTTAAAACAGTATTATCTGTTTCCCAAAATAAAAAAAATTAAACACTAATTAAAAAAATTCTAAACTTTCCTAGGGTCTAGGATTAAGAGTTTTAGTTATTTTACGAGCGTGTATAGATTTGATACAGGTATGTCTTAAAAGGACGATTAAGCTTGCATACCCTTTTGTCCAAAGGAGGTAGTCTCCTGGATGATTCCTTATCCTTGGCTCCTGTGGGTTCAACGGCGCTGTCGCAGTCATACTCCAGCTCTGGCTTGGACAGGTCACGACAAAATGTGCAAAACCACTCTCCGCTTCGGAAATAGAAAAGCCACAAAGATGAACACATGTCCATGTGCCACTGTCCTCAACTTTCACATTTACCAGTGAATCATTTAAGCCAAATTAAAGCACAATACTTCAACTTCAAGTACAATAACCTCACATCTACAACTTCTGCCATTTCTGAATTCTATACACTATGTGCTGTGTTTTTTTTTTGTGGCAATTTGTATTGGAGTCCTATCATACAGGTGACTCCACCTAAATAAATGCATTTGCTTTCCACCTGGGACAATGCTGCACACTGCTCGTTGCTTCATATCATAAATGCTATGTCTTTAAAACAAATACACATTAATAATAATAAAAATTAATAATTGGTTCCACTTATATATTGCTTCCCTCCACCACCACCAATGTGCAGCATTCACCTGGATGATGCGACTGCAGCCATAGTGTGCCAGAACGCTCACCACACATCAGCTATCAGTGGGGAGGAGAGCAGAGGGATGAAGCCAATTCATAGATGGGGATTATTAGGAGGCCATGATTGGTAAGGGCCAATGGGAAATTTGGCCAGGATGCCTGGGTAATTCCCCTACTCTTTTCGAGAACGCCCTGGGATTTTTAATGACCACAGAGAGTCAGGACCTCGGTTTTACGTCTCATCTGAAGGACGGCGCCTGTTTACAGTATAGTGTCCCCATCGCTATACTGGGGCATTAGGACCCACACAGACCGCAGGGTGAGCGCCCCCTGCTGGCCCCACTAACACCTCTTCCAGCAGCAACCTTAGTTTTTCCCAGGAGGTCTCCCATCCAGGTACTGACCAGGCTCACACCTGATGAGCTTCAGTGGGGCTGCCAGTTGTGAGTTGTGGGGTGATATGGCTACGCTACCCCCCCCGCACTCTTGAGGAAAGAGGGTCTTTCACCCCTCCATGGTGGTTTTCGAAACAACTGTGCTTTTCAGTACCTTGGAAAGGCGAGGAGAGGGGGCACGTGGCAGGCGAGGTGAAAGACTTTGGGGCACTTCTCGCAACAGAGCAGCTCCCCCCCGTTCTGACACACGGCGCACCAGTCCTCGTTGGGGTCCTCCTCGGCGCCTCCCGTCTTCCCGGCGGAGGAGGGACTCCAGCACGACAGCCGCTCCTCCACCGCCTTGGCTTGGTCCTCCGTACTGTCCGGGACATTGGTCCTCACGCGCGATTGGCCCTGAGAGCCAAAGGCAGAGCAGAGAATTGTGGGAGTTGAGAAGCTGAGGACATCCCAGGACCCTTTTTCTGTGCCTTTCATCAAATTTTCTTTCATGAAATGCGAACGTCTAAAAATGTGAAAGGAAGCTTCTATCACACAGCTTTTCAATACTGCACTGTCACTTCTTCTACAGTTTCATTAGTCATTTGCAAGCAGCGGAGCTCCAGGAGAAAGTTCACACAAACAGCTGGAAAATTTAGAGTGTTGCTGGACTGCCTACAAAGACTACAAGCACAAAACTCAAAAGGACAATACTGCATGTGAACACTACTGTCATACGCTGTCAGATTCAATACTGAGTCTTGTTTCTTACTAATTCTTGGTGCTCTGCTGCCTTCTGGTCCTGTTCTAAATTTCACAGATTATATGAAATGCTGGCATGTTGGCGCAGTAGTCAGCATTGCTGCCTTGCAGCTTTGGGGCCCTGGGTTCAATCCCTGGGGTGCTGTCTGTGTGGAGTTTGCATGTTTTCTTAGGATGTAGGTTCTCTCAGTGCGCCAGGATAGGCTCTGGTTCTCCTGCAATTATGAATTGCATAAAATGTTTAGAAAATGGAAAGCTGAATTATATCTTGATTTCTCTGAACGAGCAACAGCTATAATAAATGCGCACAACATTTTGCTTTCAGTTTCTCGTAAAGGTTTAATTTTGAAACTACAGGCAGTAGGCATTTAGGGACGTGTGTTTGGATTAAGAGTTGTCCAATAAATAAAAAACGGAGTACAGTGAGAGTAATCTGTACTTACTGTTTTAGATCAGTATCATACTAATTTAGATCAAATTTCTATATGTGTATGGTGAGTAATGTTTTCTCCTGTTTAATCAGATTATACCAAAACAGGAGGAGTAGCAAACACTGTAGAATCAGCTAATGAAATTCAAAAAGACACATATCAAGACTGAACCGACGCATGGCAGATGATGTTCAGTGCAGACAGGTGCTGGTGAGTAAAAAAATCATCAAGCATAAATTCAAATTGGAAAAGAGTAAGAAAAGGCTTTTTGATAACACATCTTCCAGATAATGTGGGGAAAGCAATTATAAAGTGTAAGAAAATGTAAATGTTATGATATGTAGTTAAAAGCGTTTAAGAATTGAAATCAAAAGATTTTAAAATTGTACCATTAAGATCTTACTGTAAAATTAAGATGTATTCTTAAGGTCACCACATTAGAGAAAAGATATCGCTGCTCTGGCATCAGTGCAGAGAAGACCAGCAAAATATTTTCCAGTGATAGAGGGAATTTGCTACACTGACAGGATGAAGAAATGTTTTTAGTCTCAAAAAGAAAAGACCTCAAGTGGACCTAATATAGTATTCAGAAATCCATCCTTCCTCCATTTTCCAGACACTTCATTCAATTCAGCGTTGCGGGTGAGCTGGAGCCCATCCTGGTAATCAACAGGCACAAGGAAGGGTACACCCTGGGTGTGATGCCAGCGCAGGGCACATACTCACACCAGGGTCAATTCTCCCAGACACCAATTAACCTACTAGTAAGTCTTTGGGACTATGGGATGAAACCAGAGCACCTGAAGGAAACTCAAGGAATCATGGCGAGAACATGCAAACTCCACACAGATAGCACCCAAGGTACAGAATCGAACCCAGGGCCTCGGTTCTGCGAGAGAGCAATGCTGAAGAGCCACTATGCCACCTGTATTCAAAATGCTCAAAGGAATTTTTCTTTTAATTCCAGTCAAGCTAGTGCACTTCTTTAGAATGAACACTAAACCACAAACCAGAGGACATGTGTACAGTAATTGTACAGTGCCTTGCGAAAGTATTCGGCCCCCTTGAACTTTTCAACTTTTTGCCACATTTCAGGCTTCAAACATAAAGATATAAATTTTTTATTTGATGTGAAGAATCACCAACAAGTGGGTCACAATTGTGAAGTGGAACGAAATCTATTGGATTTTTGAAACTTTTTTAACTAATAAAAAAATGAAAAGTGGGGCGTGCAAAATTATTCGGCCCCCTTGCGTTAATACTTTTTAGAGCCACCTTTTGCTGCGATTACAGCTGCAAGTCGCTTGGGGTATGTCTCTATCAGTTTTGCACATCGAGAGACTGAAATTCTTGCCC